ACCTTCGCCATGCTCAACCCGAATGCAGTAACCACAATGCAACCTCCCAATCTTTCCGGCCGCTAAACGGGTAATAGTGATTTTCTTTGCGATACGTGTTGTTCGCGTCAGAACGAAACGAGTCGAGGAAAGTGTGACCCCTGCCATATGTTTGAGGGGGTTTGGGATGCCAGTCGATGAAGTCTGAGTCAGTCGGTGTCACCTCCTGTGGACTTGATCATCACCCTCATCACTTCTACCCTGAAATACCCCATCCCAGTCTCCAAATCCAGCCCCATCAAGCTCCTGGTCAACATCAGGAATATTTGGTGCGTGGTCGACATCCATGGAGTCTGAGTCTGCGGTACGGACGGACACTGAACACAAACGAATGAGATCCTGTAGCCAAGTACTACAGCCAGAGCGAGGCTGACTCATGTGTCGGGCAACAGCGCCGTGGTCTTTGAAGTTGTCTTTGCCGCACGAAGGACACTGGTATGAGTTGGACATATTAGTTATGGAGGTGAGAGTTACATTCTCGGAACCAATAAAATTGTTTTTCTAACATGCCATGTCAACAAACACAGTCAAGCTGAATATCAGTGATTTACCATCAACCTCACGTTGCCCTGTTCACTGGCATGCAAGCCTTAATAATATGTGTCACTCTGGTAGCGGTATTCGGACTTGTATGACATAGTCGACGCTATCAGGTCAATGGTAAGTAACTCATACCTTACGTCATAAACAATACTCCTTAACATTTTCACAGACGATCAGTGATGCCGATAATCTCGAAGCGAACCTCGTCCTGGACCTCTCAAGGGCAAGACAGGATGTCGTCAACGCAGAGAAAGTGCTTGCTGACTGGTGGTCTGCGAACACGAAGTTGGCGAATCTCTCAAGCACAAATCCGATATTTCGAAGCAGAAGCTCGCCAAGGCAGATGTAGGAATAGCTCACATGCGGATAACATTTCAAAAACTGGTCTCTCTCACCACGGACCCGCACAGAGTGTTTTGCAAGGTAAGTTCTTACAATTCCATACTACCCTACAGCACTACAACGCTAATGTTATATATTTAGAATCACTCGAATGTCACATCACGGTCCAGCTAGATTAATGTCGACATACACCGCCCACTCAGTCCGTTTCGTTTTCTCTCTTTTTTCTTCGTCCCTTCCGCGATCACACGCCGCCCAAAACTACTGTTTACCGCATTTTTTTGCATGTATATATTAATGTAACTTTAAGTATATCAGTACAATAGATGTCATTGCAATGATGATCGCAGGTTGTGTTTGAATTCTGAATTTCTGGTTCCGAGTTCGCACTTGATAAAATTTTGAAACCCATTGTAATTGAATTGAAGTATACTAATAGCGCTACTAGGATTTAATACACTGGCAGTATAGTAGTACTAAGGTGTAAAGTCCTGTAGGGCATATAGAACTGTGAGCAACTGGATACCTTGTGGTCACAAGTGTGCTGGGAACTTGGGGAACTGTGGAGTCTGTAGCTGGCTGGAACAGGAACGCAAATGTTGTACTTCCTGTGGGAAAAGTTGTGGTTTACTGATGCTGAAGGTCACAATTCACATGGCCGTCGCTGCCACCAATTGAGGTTCGCAGTGCCATAGTTGTTGTTGGACACTGACTTATACCGTCATGTCAGGGCATTGATTTTCTTACACTTGACAGAAAATATGTGGTTCTGGGATACCCACTGATACCTAGACTCAGGTAGTATGCCATCCAGATACCAAATTAATAAAGGTTGAAGTATCTCCGAAGCCCAAGCGATACTTAGCCTTGGAACTTACCCAGGGTATTCTTTGTCATATGCTTATCTGACAGATCTCGGTCACCCCATCCCATGTACTTACTGAGTTCGACTCAACCAGTGAGATGTCAACATACTAATGTGGTTTGCTGAATAGTAATGCTGGTGGAAAAATCAGCACTGATTTTCTTATATCCGTCATATGAGCTCTGCAGAAACAGTTTTGATTCTTAGGACAACGTCACTCCGCGCGCATAAGTTTATGTATGACCATTGCGTACTTCCCCTCCAACGTAATACATGGTTTTCAGGAACCCTGCTCCACCTCCCTGTGGGTAGTACCACAAAGAAATCATAGACCCAGCACCTCAATCCTAATCCTCGCACCTTGATCCCCAGATCTCCTAGACTTGTGACCTGTTTGAGTGATGCAGGTGGGTATCTACCACCATTTGGATAACTTAGTTGGCAGTAGGGGTAGGGCCTTTGGGCGTTGTCGTAGGTAGCACTCATCATTATGTTGAGGCCACACCGGCTTCTGTCTGCCAGACTCGAAGGCAGACACATTGCCATTTGCGCGAGTCCACTCTGTATGGTCATACATCTCTCCGAGATCCATCATGATGCTCCAGCCTCCGCGGTCCCTGTCACCGGCTCACCGTCAATCCTGCTGCGTCACATCTGTACGACCGCCTCGTGCCATGGCTCCCGCAGGAGTTGCCGCATCTTGGCACCTCGACAGACTGGACTGGGCTGCCCAGGTGATAGAAGGACCGTCCAAGGTACATGAAAGATTCGTTTCTAATGTCAGTTTCATCTGGCAGCTATGCTTTTCAAACGGGACTGTGTTCGAAGAACTTCAAGTTGTCTTCCTTCTAGCCTCGCAGGCTTCAACTACTGATACCGCGGACGTGCCGCGGACATTGAAAATACCCCAAACTAGTAAACACGTACGTCGTGCTAGTACTGGCATGGCATGCTCCCATCTATCTGCAAGTCGACAACTAGCGCGTAGCTCACTTCATTGACTGCTACTTGTGTTGGACCCTATAACGAGGGACGGGCGTTGATCCTGTGGTTTGTGCCAGATACTTTTATTTCTGCACATTCTTCAGTGGAAGGAAACGCCATGCAAGTTGAAGTCCTTCAGGACTTGAAATTGGGGTGCGTTGGTCTCTTTCGATTTTTTAGTGACGACTAATAATATAACCATGAGTCATTGCAGCAAGCTCTTGGGTTACTTGATTGTTCCTAGTGCGCCGGGAGAAGAATTGCACGGCATCGAAAAGCCTGGCTACCCATGTGAGCGGGGGCGACATGCGTATGTCGTCTACCTTGAAGAGTATATTCCACGAGATAGGTTACATTTAGTGAGTCACGGTTGGAGAAATGAGACGCACCATGTCTAATGGAGGCAACTTGCAAAAGTCTTGGGGATGCGGTGTGATTTTTTTTCGCGGTGATCTCCGTGTTCTGTTCCAAGGCGGATCTGCGGGGGATTCGGATTGCACTACACTGCCTGCGCTAGTCTAAAATGCGGTCCCAATCGTCATTTCTGATTTTGGAGGCTGTGGCCTGAAAATAACTCTACAGATCGTTGACTGGTTGTCACGGTCCCACAGCATTGTGCACAATTCATATCTATTTGAAAATCAAACTAAAATTTCCACTGTGTTCTAACACTGACAGATCTAACATTGAAGAGATCATCAGGCGGACGTGAACGAGAATCGTCCAGAAGCTATGCAAAAAAAAAATAGAAACAAAGCGGAGTTTTGGTGAATGACAAGAGACGTGAAGACTGAAAACTCATGCTCAAACACACTCGTTAAATATACCGCCATCGTCATCACCACCAGATCACCCCCATCTCCATCACGCCCTACGTCACTATTCACTCCCCAATATACCCTACAAGGACTCGCCTTCGGTCTTTTATAGGTATGATTGTTGATATCGAATCCGTCATAGCGCCAGAAATTCTTTTTATCAATCTGATACATCTTGAAGCTTGAAGACTGACAACCGTGAAATGAAGCAGAGGTCGCCATGGTTCTGAGCAAAGAGCTGCAAAAAGGAGATGGAGCATGGATGCGCAACAACACAGCATGACGTGGTAGACGCCATCGCCGGCGGGATCTCGTGCTTATATATGTTGTAGATATCCCCACTAATATTCATCCCGACCTTCAGGAATCTCCACGGCATGGCCGTCCGTGCACATACTAACAACTTCACCCACTTAGATTCCTCTCACACATATTCGAAAACGTGTTATACTTGTTACCGAATGCCTCTCACCGTACATACATCCGGTCACTTCATCTTTGTGGAGTGGCGCATCTAAAACGGCCGGCGGGAACGGCAAACCGGTGGGGGTACATCTCACACTTGGGCATTCGCGTGCTCTGAAGTCCAGCGGGGCCCCTAGACTAGATAGCATTATCTAGCATAAAGTAGTACACTTTGAATGGACAAAAACTGAAACAAGAAAAAAGTGAACCCATGGCGAACGGTCGATGAGAACAAGGAGGAGTGAGAACAACAAACATAACATGACATAAGAAAACACGGGGCGACCAGCGGTGGTGCAACACAAGGAATTACCAAACTTGCAATACAAAGAGGTGCGGAAGCCTAGATACTACCCCTCTTCAACCTCAAGTGGGTCTCGTAAATGTGACGCCAGATGGTATCGCGTCGCATGACGCGAACTGTCGGGTCATTGCGTTTGTAGTAGTCGCAACCCTCCCATCGGCATTCGATCTTTACTACTGTTGGGCCAGTAAAATGGATGGCTTTACAGTGGGTCTTTAATTCCTCCAATGTCCCAATGAATTCGCAGGTGTGTAACGGCATCGTCCGTTTAGCCACCGGCAGGACAGGAGGGGAGATAAGGCGTAGCCTATTTGTTCGCCATGACTTGCATGAGGCTGTATTACTCGTGAAGATTCCACTGCCAATGGTGGAGGCATCATAGGCGTGAAAGGCAAGCTTAGAGGTACCGGCCGAAGGACGGTATGAGTCTGCCATTGATATGGCAAGGTGTTGTACGGCGAGAAATCGGAGGTGGACATATTATGATCAAAGATGGAAGGCAAAGCGTATGATTAACCGCGGTTATACTGCGAGGGAGTAGTGGACCACGAAAGAGTGACCATTCGGATACGCCCTGTGTATGAGTGACTATGGGCAAACAGCTACTTATACATGGTAACGAAAAACATACATTGGGATGTTGATGGTGACGAGCAGCCGCTTCCTGTTACAGGAGAAGAGGAAGTACCCGATGCTGGTGACACCTTCTAATGCTGTATTGTAGGTACTGGATGCTATTTGGTGTATTATTCCACTGGGAGCCATGATTTGGAACAGATGGAAGCATCGTGGTGGTAGAGTAAGAGTAGGCAATTTGTGGTGGTGACATGGCCAAGGACTGGGAAATGGATGTGGATGTGGAAACGGATTCCAACTGTGTTGAATATCGTGGAAGGTTGTCATCGAGGCCGTCTTGATCGGCCGCAAGTTGATCTGGGTTGGTATACTGAATGATAGGGCGATGAGAGCAAGCAATAGTTGCATAGCATATAACTTACTGGTTCCAGGGAAAATTCATGGGGGGGGATGGGGGGAGATGATATGTGTTCTGCGGTCATTAAATGACCATCTTTGAAAGGTTCGGGTAAGCAAAAAAGATTGCAAGCACCCTAGTAAACCAAGTGGCGTTGCTTACATAGTGGACAAATATACACGGATCAGTCCCAAACAAGTTCCCGCGATCTTGCGACGATGACTCGACTAGAGAGGGCAATCTATAACCAGTTAGTGTGACCAGGTATCGAAATGACTGGCAATCATTATACTGTACGTCAGTTGGTACCTTTGCAATACAAACAAGGATGAATGCCAGCACGGGTGCATGCCATACTTGATTTGTAAGACGCATTCGAGGCTCGGAGAAGGCGTCCACAACAGGCAGGTTGTGGCCAGCCGTAAGTGCTCCGAATATCGCGAGTAATCGCCTGCAAAGGGGGGCATGCAAGCAATTGCTGTAGTTCGAGAAAACCCGGGGTCCATTTTGTGCAAGCAGACTTGAAAATCTCCGAAATGATCACGTTGATATGTAGCTTGATGGTGATTGAGGTGGTAATTCCTCCAAAGCTTAAGAGATTAATGCCGCTTCCTGAATCACAACTTCACTGAAACAGAAGAAAAGATTACGGATAACCTCATTCTGGTCATTGCGGCAGGCTCCTTCCCACAGTGAGGCCTCTGTGAAAATCGATTGTTCCGACGGAGATCGATCAAAATCAACGAGACGGACGCCGAAGGACGCAGGCTGACTGTGCACACCTCGTTCATTGCACTTAAGCTTGCGAGGAATCGTTGGTATTATTTTGTTCCATAGCTGTACGACTCGTAGCGACGCTGGTTGATACTAGTTCGAGTCGATGGGAACATGCAGTCAGGTATTTTAATACTGACTTGTTGCTAAGGTTACTCCTCAGGTCTCGGGCTCCGCCTTCGAAACCTAGGTACTTCACGAGATTTTGATCTAGCGGCGCCGCATATCAGGACTACTAGGTTAGGGACGTGGTGCAGGGAAGGTTGGCATTGGCAGCATGAAGCTAATATTTTAGTGGCACAGCTTTTGGGGCGATGTCTGATGTAACTCACCCAGCCAATCACCGCATGTGAACAATTTTTAGGATCGAGGAAGGACTACTGGAATTTTGGGTAAGGAATTAACGAAAAGCATGCACGAACATCCACAACGTGACTCACCTAAACTTAGTAGTGTTCTGGAAATCCATGCAGCATTTCACAGCAACCCGCATTGGTTCTGAAACCCCGTTTGACAGCGGAGAAAAAATGAAATACAAATAAAAACAAAGTCCTCAAAATACAGGAAGACGTGTTCGGAAAGGATGAAACAGCAGGGTGCATAGAAGGTCTGGGCGCGGTCCACGGTACAGCAGCTTTGTAGGAGGCCACCGGAAATTCCTTGTCGAAAAAAAACGGAATTTGTCAGGGGATATGTGCTGTAGCTATACTACCCGTGCTGTAGCAATACCTATTGGGGGAGGAGCATACTTGCAGTGCGTAGAGCAATTCCGTGAAAGGAATTGTGGTGCTAGAGAGCGGGCGAAGCGTCCATCTGGCTGCTGCGAGGACACTATTGATACGGGTAGAATGTCGCCAAAGTGTAGTCAAAACCACCAGATTTGTGAGGTCCAGCCGCACCTACTAGTGTGCCACGGATGATGTGCAAAAGTCCAGAACGATGTCAAACGCGCTCCGCACACAATGTCCATTTTTTTCGCAGTGTCTGAGACCGAGGAAACATGCCTGGTTGCGAGGAGAAGGGGGACAGCCAAAAAAGAGACCAGGCCAAAACACGTTATTGAGAACTGAGATCTCATTGTCTACAGCGCGCTTCCACCGGACTAGTGCGAGCTTCAGAGTGTCGGGGATGAGGGCAGGAAGCAAACATCTTTCGAGACTCATGTATCGGAAAGACACGCATATACGAAATAACGACAACAGACATTCACCAGCGTATGCTGGGTTTCTCAGAACCATCAGCTCGACGTGGTCGCCGGTGCCACAGCCTGGCACTCAATTTTCCAGGTCACGTGCTCTACTGGTCATTGCGGTTGACGTTCGGATGTTTAACGTCGTTGAAACGTTGACCATTGGATGACTTTCCGCAGCGTTTAGAACGTCGTTCCGAATCTAAATCTATCTTCTGAAGTCTTCATGCCGACGTGTCGCCGTCAAACGTTATTGTTTTGCAAGTTCGCATCCCAAGAATACCCAGTTCGAGTCAGGCTTTTGCTGAGCGTTACAAGGCCCCCCCCTTCTAGATTCAAATGCTGTTCAAACCATGTTAAACACCTAAACGAGCCTCAATTTCCGTGACTAAGTATGTTGTAACCGTCGCTTACATGCCTTTTGACACCTCAACACTATAGATTAGAATCTGGATACGACTGGTCTACAGTTTGGAAAGCATTTCTAGGACAGATCGCTCCCTCGCTCTATGGTGGTCTTCCGTTGTTACCAGTGGTCTTCACAGTTTTATTTATCGATGAATGGACTGATCACGAATCAGCTGATTCGAAACGCCAGCCGTTACGCCAGGACCTTCAGCACTCCGCGAGTCCACATGAGAACCCATACGCGTGCCAGACTCCCTCCCTTATGAGGTGAATCATTACGAGTGCGCTGGATATCATACAGGAGCGTGATGGGCGTAAGCACTATATCGCCCTACTGAATGGGGAGTTGGATCTTTCCCCAGCAGTGCGCTTGTAGCAACTCGGTACGCTATTGTCGGTCCCCAGCTGGATATGCACTGAGGGTGGGTTCAGGACTTTTCCAGTGGTCCGCAAACTCAAGACATCGTCTTACATGCCTTTGCTCAGTATTCTACTGATATCCTACTAGTGTTTTGATCACAGGCACAAAGTCCCGGTCGACCTGTTACTCGTCCCATACCCATATCGATATTCCTTGCCACTCAGACTGAGCCCATAGTCCATTCAATTTTGTTGATGGCCAGCGAGAGCAAAATTGCCTCACTCTTCGAATACAGCCACCGCTTCCGAATTGCTGGTAGCACGCTGACAGGCAGCGCTTCAAGTCAGCTGCACATGCAGAACTTTGCGTGACAGGATTGCATAACGTCCGTAGTAAACATTTCTTCCGGTGATCGGTATTTTCAATTCTGCTATTGAAGCCGGCATATCGATTTGGCCAGACAATTGAAACGTTGACACGGGGTCTATATACGCCCATGCATGATCTGTTCTTGGTCATGGTACGGGTGAGAATGTTATATTCTCTGAATTGTTTGCATTATTGTGTATTATTTCACTTGCAAACATGCCTTGAATGCTGACAGTTGTGCGTCACTTTAGGACCAGGTATCGGGGCTGGATTAAATCAATGCGTCCGCGGTGATCCCTCCTGTATCGGCGTTATGAAATATCTACCAAAATGACATGTTGACATTCGGTCAGCCACAATTATCCGCGGGCCTGGTCAAATCCTCGGTGAGCAGCCACAAATTTCAATGTAGGAATAATGCAGTCTAAACGAGTGGTCATCATCAGGATATGAACTAACTAGTCCGAGTTTGGTTCCAAATGCAACCGCCTTCTCGTGTTTTACACTTGTTGAACTAGTATGGGGACATTTATTCCAAACTTAAAAGCTTGATAGCCCGAGCCCATTGGTAACAGGGATCGCAGAAAATGTTCATGAGATCGTCAATATAGCGCGCATCCAAAATACATCAGAATATCCCGGCAAGGGTATCTTCGTCCACTGCCATGTTTTTCAATATGTCTCTGGCTTCTCTCGCAGGTCTTGATATAGTGGAGCGTTCGTTGGCGGCACTTTCTTTGACTTTCAGAGCTACACTGCGTAAGAGCCCCAGTTTTGCGAACAGCGTGGCTGCCGGCTCCAAGTAGTCGTCCGAATCGGGAGATAGGACAGCAAGGATGGCATGCGATGCTAGGGCTGATGGAGGTGTTCCAGAGATCAAGTATGCACTGGCGATGACGGTCAATAGTGAAACTAAATGTAAGTGTTTCTTTTCACTTACTTTACAATCGGCTTCAGTGATTGCGGGTTTGCTGACAATGAGGCTATCAACGTTGCTGTTGCCTGAACGTAATGATCTAAGAGATTCGTTAGCACAAGCACGAGATCAATCCCAATCCTCAATAAAACTTACCCTCGTGTGTTTCCCGGAATGCGTCATTGACAAGTTCAATGCAGGTTTCTCTAGCCTTATCTCCAATACCACCGTGCGCAGAAGAACTCTTCACGACGTTCGACAATGCAAGAACGAAGCTAGCAGCAATCTCCTCCTCGCTGGATCTCGCACCAGCAATAAGCTCCGTAACAACAGGATCAACTCTTGGCTGGCTGTGCATGAGGATACCCAAAGCATCTGCTGCACGAGTTCGTACGACGGCAGAGGACGTGTCGCTGATTGCCTTGACAAATGTGCGCTGAAGCTGAGGGAAGAACGGTTTAACGTGACCGGGAATTCTCTCGAGCATCGAGGCCAGTGCACTGAGGATGGCAGTCTTCACACCAGGAGGATATGTGGTGGCTTGTGTTGCAACACGGATGAGGGGCCCAGTGAATGGCACCACGAAAGGTTTGATAGCAGACTCCTCCGTCCGTTCTACCAAGTCTCCGATAGCGTATGCTGCATTTTCGCGTTGTTCGTTGCTGCCATTCGTGAGACCAGCAATAATGATAGGGACGGCGGGTGCGACTCCCTTTGCAGACTGAAACCAGGAACATATCGGCCAGGTGCGCCAGTGCTCTCGATCGTCCTGCGCAAGGGGACTACGAGGGACTCCAGCTCATCCTTTGGCACTGACTTGACGAATACATCAAATGCCTGCCAAGCCGCAGTGTGGACTAAAACCTCTTGGTCATCGAAGAGAGAAACAAGCTGTCGAACCCAGTCAACACGGTATAATGACGAATCCAGCTCAGATTCCTCGCAGAACACTGCAAAGAGATTGCAGGAGCTAATCCGCCGTTTTGGCGCATCACTCTTGGCCCTGAAGCAGAAGACAATCAGTAAATGTGCAAGCTTACAGAGCGAAGGCAACTGACCACCCAAGAAGGAGCAACATCAAGGTGTTCAAACCCTCCGGGTCTTCTATCGAGGCTAAAAGTGCACGCACAGCCTCGTCGATAGCGCTCCGTAGTCCATCGTCTTGATCTTCTTCCAAAACCTTTACTAATGCTCCAAGGATGACAATGAGGCGCTTGCTCAAGGCATGACCAGCAACGGTGACAAGAGACGCCAAAGCTCTGGCATTGAAAACCGTCATAGGTGTGGCAATCAAGGTTGGGATGAGAACAGGGAACACAGTAGACGCCCGGACCTTTAACTGGGTAAGTACATCCTCGTTCACAAACGAAAAAGACGATGCCATACCGACATGACCTCCCTCAAGGCTTGAAGTGCGGTGTCTGAGCTTGCACCAGGCTGGCGTAAAGCCTCTAACAAAGTGGGGATCGTCTGGTCAATCGCTTTCGCGCCGAGATGTTCTTGAAGTACATCAAATGCCTTCGCGGCCGCCGAACGTACACTAGCGTCATCATCCACCAGAGAGGCACGGACCATGTTAATGATTTCGTTTTCATGGCCATCACGTTGTGCATCGGATGTGCTCTCCCTAAATACCGTGAGGAGCTGCAAAAGAGGAGGAAAGAAGCGTCCTTACATTACATCGCACAGCATGAGGCAAACACCTTCGCGGGTACGAATATCAGGAGAATGCGACTTAGCATGGAGAATTGAGAAAATTTCGCCCAGAACCTTCTCGCCAGACTTGCGGCTGAGCTCTGCCGTGGTACGAGTGGCAGTCTTGAAGAAAGGGGTGAATGAATAGATACTTGATCATGGCGTATAACCTTACCTCTTGCTGTTCGAACTCCTCGCTGGAGTACAGTTTCACCAACTGACTAACAAGCTCCGGGAGAATTTCGCGTACTATGTCGTCATCGTCAATTGTGACCACTAAACACATCTGCATGACTCACCAGTACGGGGTGTGTTGTGCACGAGCGCCTTCCAGATGTGAACAGAAGACTGACGAACAACGTTGACTGCATCTTGTCTTGCAAGATATAATGCCGATAAAATACGGTTACGACGTTCCTCTCCAAGAACATCTGTGAGCGCACGGCGAGAAGATTCTGCGACTGCAACTTCGGCCACTTCCTCTTCCTCTTCAACTTCAGCCTTTCCACTAATACCTGATACCTTGAATAATAGTTCTCCAACAAGAGTGATTGATGATTGCTAATGATCTTGGTAAGGTCCTGTAAAAATATGTTGCAAAAAATACTCACCCTAATGCGCCAGCCAGCATCGAACATGCCTTGCTCAAGTTCAGGCAGGAGCAAGTCGATCGCCTTGGTGGAGTAATTGGTAACAATCATCCGCCCTGCTCGCATAGCGGCTTCCCGGACGTATTCTTCCGTATCAGACAGTCCACTTAAGATGGGGGATATGATTTTCGGTAAATGTGGTTGGAATCGAGCGCCGAAGGTAGCCGGTAGATACACGAGGAGAGACATGAAACCTTCCCTGACGGTACTCCGAGGGGACTGCGCATTGGCGATAATGTCAGGGAGAAGGCCCTCAAGTCGTTCCATGCCGAGTCCGGATAGCACTTCACTAAGACCCTGAGCCGCACCTTGTCGATCAACACCTGAGGTGTCGGTCTTAAGTGTTCTCAAAAGTCCGGGGACAACGTCGGGGAAGTGGGCTTCTCCGAGACGTTCAACAAGTGTCCCGAGCGCTTTGGCAGCAGTCGCGCGTGCTTCCGGCACGGGATCAACCAGAACGAGGTGCACCAACGGCAAGAGCGAAGACAAGTAAGGCACGAAATCTTTAGAGTCCGTCAAAGATGCAAGATTGCCAACAATTTGAGCGGCTCTCTTCTTGCCCTCCGTCCCTCGTTCCCGCAATCCACGTTCGATAATGGGTATGACCTGCGGGCCATAAGTTATGAGAATAACAATTTGACGCAGCAACTCACCAGCGCCAGAGAGGAGTGATCGATGTAGTGCATAAATGATGTTTTCAGGAGGGCTGATAAAGCATTTGTCGTCTTCGCAGGATCCACAAGCGCCTTTAGTAGCGTCGGAACAAGCGCCTGTATCTCGGGGTTGTTGATGACTTCTCCAAACTGCTTTAGACTCTTGTTGGCCGCAGTTTTGACTTGGGCATGGGTATCCGTCAGAACGCCAGTAAGGCGTGGAATGACAATGGGCAGTGATAGTGATAGTTGTCGGGGCGAGCAGTAGGCCATCATGCCCATCAATTCAATGGAACCCTTTTTAGACCTCCACTGTTTCTCGTCCAAACCAGACAATAAGGAAGGGAGAATGAGCTTGACGCCATATCCAGACATATTGCCCATGATTACCCTTGCTGCATCCTGAGCAGCCTCGCGCACGTCTGCTGTCGTGTCACCGAACGCGGTCAGGAGAATGGGGAGGATAAATGTGATATAGGGCTCGAATAGTCGGCCGAGCGTATTCGACAAAGTTTCGAATGCAAACATTGCACCTTGACGCGTTTCGAAACGCTTTTTGTCCTCAGCAGCTGTCCGGAGGCGGTTGATGACATCGTATTCTTTCATGGCGCCTACTCCCAAACCCTTAATAGTACCTGCAAGACCATAGGCAGCTCCCCGTCGACTAGCATATTTCGATCCATCGAAGAGCTCCTCAAACAAGTGATCAACGAGCTTGCGTACGCCCGGGCCCATGAGCTTCACTAAAGGGACAAGACAGTCAGAAACAGCTATTTGGACTTGTTCTGCCGGAGTCTTAAGAGCTTCGACCAGTCGGTCGACAATGCTGGGAATGCGTGTGTCCGAGGCATCGAGATGCCTGGCGACACGTCCGAATAGAATGACAACGGCTTCTTTGATTTGATCTCCAGTTTCGTTTGCGGGACTTGGGCCACCTAGATGTTCTTCAAAAGTCGAGAGTAGTCCTGCAAGCCGTTTTGAGCCATGAATGTCGATCACGGCAGTTCCAGCCCGAAGCATGCCGCGGCGCACGTCCGGTGACCTGTCACCTAATGCTTCGTCCTTGATCAAAAATACGAAGAATGGTTCAATCTGGTCCTCTGTGAATGACTGAGCCGAGTGCTCGAATGCAAGGGCCACTGCCACCCGGGTAGTCCATGGATCGGAGCGATCAAGGCTAGAAGCGATAACCATGCCCTGGGCACCAAATAAGAATCACAACCAGAAAGTTTGATATGACACCAACATATTCATCGAACTCGGGAGCGAGTATTTTAGCCTTAGAACTGGTTAGAGCCGAGCACGTAAAGAAGGATGAGGAGTCATACCTTCTCCCGGTAGAAGTCTTGTAGAGTAACTATGGTCAGTGCGCTCTTTCGAGGCCAATAAATCACAGCCTCCGCAATGGCCAATGCCGTGCTGGTTCGAACGTACGCGTTGTCGTGCTCTAACAGGCACATTAGGATTTGAGGGATAGAAATACTGAGCTGCATACCTAGATAGTCCATAAGCTTGTCAAGGAAGTCTTCTGGCACATCTAAGCCGTTATCCTCCCACACGTGATTGGCGAGACGAGCGTTTTGTTCGTCGTCATCATGGCAGGCTATCCAAAGTTGCGGAGACCAATCAAGATCGGTCAAATCGAATGGCTGCGAAGATGATGAACAGAAATAGCACAAACTGCAAGCGAATGATACTGACCTGGATAGCTTGTAGACAAGCATTCCTGACATAGACCTCTTGCAATAGTGTACCGCCAATGAGCACACCGACCTCATCGCGGGTAGCATTCGACTGCACAGCCTCTCCGAGGTCGATGAGAACAGATGATGCTTCCTTGCTAAGTCGCGGCTGATGCCTTATGACATGGAGGACGTGCTCCATAGTTGCTTTTCGAGGAAATGCTGCATCCGAAACTGCAAGAACATTAGAAATGCACCAACTCTTATACCAAAGACAAACATTCGCTGCAGTGAAACCTGATGATGTCGAGCACGAGAGTTACTTGCTCGAGTGCTTCATCGCCGTCATCTTGGCCGGCGTCTACACCACCCTTCAGCAACACCTGTGCAAGGAGTGGGAATGCATAGGAAAAGGTTGCGGCATCAAACGGAGCTTGTTCCGATAGCGATCGTAGACGGTAAAGAACACGTAGCACAAGAGCTGGAGAATTGTCAATATACGACTTGTTTTTCGGGCAACAGATAAAACCCACAGCTAAGTTGTTCAGCCTGCAGTTCTTCGGGCACCGATGTTATCCCAAGGCTTCGCAATGTCGCCACACCAACCCACTTGTGGAACGTGTCTAAACGTGCTGAACAGCACTTCGCGAGGTCCTAGCACAGAAGACATAAGTGCAAACCGCACGAAGGAAACCCACACAGACCTACCAAATAGGCATCAAAAGCTTGCGACCCGACAAGCCTCGATCCTTGGCCCATAGCTCCCTCCAACAAGAGTGATAATATGAAGGAAACATACATGCGCAACTCGGGGACATTGATTGACGCTAAACTCTGAATGTACGACAGCCCTCGTTGCAGATTGAGTTTGATAGTGGTAACTCGCTGCCGCACAATTGCTTCCTTGTCCAGCTGTGCTTGTACGAGGGCTTGAGCTTGCTTCGAAAGCGTAGTTGTTGTACCGCCCTTCTTGTTCGCAAGCGATTTACGAAGCTCGGCCTCCCAACGGGCAATGTCAGCGTCTTTCCCTTTCTTGGGACCTTCCTCGGCCTTCTGAGAGGAGAGAACTACACAGCAAGAATCCAATGAATGTGGCGGGTTCTTATGATTCATTTACTCACCATCTACGTACGTCATGCCTTCCGGCGTTTGCCAGATACCAAACTCAGCCTCGGACAGTGCTTTGATTGTCGAAGGGTCGGTGTCGGCACGTAACTGCTCCATGATCTTCGGTAATACATTTTCGGGGCATACAAACGCCAATGTGCTAATTGCTTGATAGCTCGCGTCCGCAAAGCCAAACTTAAAATCCACAAGTCATAAGTGTTAGTGCATTTAGAAAACATGGAAATACAAAAATACCTTCGAATCGATGGTGGATGCCGTCAAAATGCTCGACATCGCCCGGTCAACACGACGAGAGATTAAATTGTGCGGGTCCACGCCAGCCTTCTGGCACAACTCGATCCATAGCATGCGGGATGGAGGACCTGATACAGAATGTTCAGCGGCAGTCGTAGAATCAGGGACGAGGAAGCTCACAAACGGCAGAGTGATGTGCTACAACAATGAGGTCTACTAGTCGATCGTCTCTCTCGCCCGCACCTGCTTCTTCCTTGTAGCCGCAGCACAGTAGCAATGCTGCATACCTTCGCCGACTGTCTGGAGCTGGTTTTTCAGTCTCTTCTTTCACTGGTGCGCTCTTGACAGCAGCCGACTTCTCTTTGATCAACGAAGCTGTCAGCGCTTCACGCAGGATCGGAATAACAAGCTGTGGAAGTAACTGAACAGCTGCTTCGATAGTCTGAATCGCTACTCTGCGAACTTCAGATGACTGCGAGTGAATGGAGAGATGAACAAAAACGGAGCCGATTTGCAACCTGAGAATGATGTCAAAATGAAAGAAGTAACATCAGACAATTATACTGGCCGTAATTGATCGCTTTTAGCCAGCTCGTTCTTCAGGCGGAAAAGAGATAGGTTCGCGGCACGTAGAAGCCATAGCTCGTCTTCTACGTCAGTCAATTTTTGATATATTTTATCTGAGATGATGAATGATGGCTTGGCCTGTGTGCCGGTCAGAGCTTCGATAGATACGTTGCGAGCTATGATATCGCCTTGAAGAAATGAGTACGAAACGCAGCATTGACCGAAGAGAATGAACATACCGAACTTCCCCGTGTTTGTCAGGGGACCCATGAGCAGGGCAAGGGCAACATACCCCTCCAACGGACCAACTGCTGCAGTTAGAGGATTCGCACTCACAACCTTTAGGTTAGTTTCAAGAGCACTCGTAATGCCCGTTGAAAAAGCCAAAACAGCGTCGGTGTCGACCGCGTCAACGTTCCAGAGTGCCGACCCGGTGATAGATACAAAAGCTTTCCTGATGACAGGTTTTGTGTTGGTCATCTCCTTCGCAATCACAGTCGTCGCGTCTGCAGGCACTTCCATATTCGCCTTGAGGACGAAAGTAAGATGTGCCGCCATGATCGATGCCAGCACCCCAACAGCCGCGTCATTCGTTTCCTTCACGAGCAGCTGAGGTACATTCTGGATGACTATGGTCGAAACGTCAGCGCTTGGTGGCATCGTGGCGAGCATTGCATAAAGCGTAAGTCGGTGCTCTGGGCCTGTAGTTTTACCAGTCTTGGGCAGTGTCAAAACATCCGTGAGGGCTGCACCGACGCTAGTAGAATCGATATCTTTGGAGATCAGGACCTTGAATAGTCCCGTGGCATTCGTGCGTACGACAGGGTTGTTAGACTTGGCGGAGTTAAGGGAAGCAGTAAGGAGTTTTTTGAATGTGGCGGAGTCGAGGTTATGAGAGTACGCAAGTAAAAAATCTGCGATTACTACAAGCAGTTAGTCAGAAAGCGACGATCCTGATGTACATACGTACCACTTAGTGAATATTCTGGTGATCGTAAGAGTGCCTTCTCCATAGTTGGCAATACATTTGCTGTTAGATCGCTAGAGGTTACACAGGTCCCTATGAAATCATGAAGCGCGCTCTGCCATGACGTATATTGAGATCTGATATCAGGTAACAGTATATAGGCACCTTACAGAGGAGTGCGATGGAACAGGATTTTTGGACATCACAACGCAAGTCGTATAAAGATCGAGGATGTCATTCTGGCATCGCATTCAGCAGGTACCACACCGGAAGAACATGCTTGTGTTACCTTGATTGCAGAAGGAATTTGGGTGAACGATTCGTCCTTCACATTTTTCAGACGAAGTGTCACATCCACAGCAGTACTCAGCAAAGGAATCTGTATGAGGGGAATTTGGCTAGATTTTGCTTGCGCTACGAGTGTCGCCATGAGTGCGGGAAGCTTTTCCGGTGCAGACCGAAGGGCTCTGCGTGTACGGACAAATGCACTTTTTTGCATAGTTGGTTTTGTTCGCGTAGAGCGGTTAAGTTGCATATCAAGAAGTGTTGCGAAGATCTCGACGAGCACGTTCCACTGAGGGGAAGACGTAAAGCCAGGAGAAGACCGCAGACACGTCGCATAAAGCCCGCATGCCCAGCTTAAGAGAACGAAGATATCTGCAGGCGCGTATGTGCTGATATGCCAAGATCAGCCACCATCTAAAGGTGAGAGATGAGAACCGGACCTTGGTGAACCACGCTTAGCTATGTGGGATACTTCGTTCGCAAGCCATCCTAGAACTTGCTCTGTGACTCCCAACTTTTGGTCAGCATCAGCTGTCTCATCCTTCTCAATCAACGTCATTCCCACTTCCTCGACGGCATCGCGGGAAGCGCCATCAACGTATCGGGGGTATGTTTGCGTCAGGAGTTTAAAAACATCCATGATCTGCCTTAGGCTCAATCCTTGAAAACAATCTGAAATTACAACGTTGCTTGACTACTGTGAACTGCAGCACATGCCTCCGTTGGTCGCAAGCCATATAAGTTCATCCTGTAAGAATTGCAGGCGAATTCTGGTACTGCTGGTTAACAGTCTTCCCTGAGCAATTTGCATAGCCTTTTGCCAGTCCTCCAGTACAAGATCTCTGGTCCATGATTGTCCGCTCGTATCCTCACCATCCATCTCGTGCGACTGGTTTGTCGAGACTAACCACGACTCGATATCGGTTTTGCCTGAGGACTTCGATCGGCCTAGTCTCTTGAGCTTTGTAAGTGACGCTTTGTGAGGCACGATGAAAGCACAGGTCAGTATGTAATGATGCTAACGATATTCTAGACTGCGAGATCAAGAAACTTGGAAGTTTAGAGTCACGTGAAGATGACCCCGAATGAAAAATCTTGCGAAACGGAGAAACATTAAGTACATTATGTAATTAATTCGCACACTAACCCAATTTGATCTTCGATCGAAGCATGGAAGCTAGGAGAAAAATATGCTTATAACAAGAGCCTCAATCAAGACATGACGAAAGTCTCTTGTTTTCTCACCACATCCATCGTCGCTCCTTTGCATCCAGGCAGGCTTATATCACGCTTTGAGCCTTCAAAGTACTACTAATCGCGACTTGTCGAGCGCGGTCAGTCTCCCCTAATACAGCATATAGTCAAACCGTATGTACTTATACGACATTCGGGAGCATGCTGGCAGTCGACTCACTTTCAATAAACAGATAATTCCATCTCGTTGACTGTTGTTTCTATCTCCACTCGTTGTCAGCTTGTGTCCGAAAATAGTCCGTTATACAACTGGCCACTTTACATCCGGTGAGTCACTCATACTGAATAATACCTTCCAAATAATGACCCAACCATAGATTGAAGCACTATATTTATGTCTTTCAACAATGACACAAGTCCCACCGATACTTCCACCTCTCCCACTGAGACCGGGGCGGATCTTGACTTCAGTCCTCCGACAGACGGGCATGTTGTAGCTATAGCCGTGACCGTTGGCGTTGTCGGTGTCTTCCTTTTTGTACTCATCGCATGGCTTCTCCTACGCTTGCGTCGCAGACCAGCTGATGAGGTTGATGCGGCTCCCTCCCCCCGCATACGGCGCATTTTCACATCAGATAATACTCGACCCTCGACTGAGTCCAAGTTCAGTTTCAGTAAGTTTCCCGCTGCTCAAAAGAAAAGTACCATCCTCATGGACTTTGGTTCAGTGCGGAAACCGATGCGAGTTGCTCACCAGCAAGATGATGGTTCTTGGGACTTTTCGGACCCAGACCCAACGCAATTATACGTACCCCCCGCTCCGCAGTGCCAGCTCTCCCCGCTGTGTGCACCACCACGCTCCAATCGCTCTAGTATATACAAGGGCGAACTGTCCCCAACTGACACGGATCTTGAGGCTCCTCCACCTGCTTACTGCGTAGACGGAACTATGTGGTCGATGTGTACCCCTCCAACAGACCATCCGCCCCAAGCTAGTGCTTATTAGTTTTGCTCAGTTATTCTTACCTTCACCTTATTGTTTTTGTCACCTTTGATACTTTAATTTTTCTGTATTTCGAACTGTCTTTCGTTAGGTGCCCTCGTTTGTGACTTGTTATAATTGATTCGCCATGTACCATACAGAGACCCTGGTAGCACAGCTCAACATGGCACACGACTACGATCGTCGATATGTATAACCACACTTGTATTTTTACTTCATACAACTTGTGGTTAATATATCAAAGATCTGCGTTCTTCTAATAGCAGCATCATCACATGATCAGAAAGTGAGGGAAAGCACATTAGCATGATCACACAACGGCAGATTTCTTTGTTGAACGAATACCAATGGACTTTGCATCAAAATTCAATCTCAATTTCAAGTTCCATTCGCATACTGCATAGAATTCAGGCAAGTAACAAGTACCGCTTGAGTACCGCTGCCGTTCTCTCGTTGATTCAAAAGAGTAGGATTAGATTCGCCAGCAATTCCGCATGATCAGGAAAATAAATAAAAACTGTGAGGTATGATGCGTGATTAGGGCCAGCGGTGAGTTACACAAGAGCATGCAGAGAAACCCTGACAAAACAGCGGAAACGCAGGAGGAATCAAACGCAACACAGAAGTCAACCAATGATATTCTCGTCATCAGAAATAGCAGAGTTTCGAGCGCGAGAACTGCGAGCCCTTTTCTTCATTGCGCTAGGCGATCCAGAGACTAGATATCAAAAGTGAAACGGGGTATTCAGTGCAACACAAAGCACGAACCAGTTGATGATCGCTGCCGTTTTGAAGAAGGGCCGGGTTCCAGAGTAGTGTTTGCGTCAACCTGGTCCTTCAAGTTCGTTTTGGGAATCTTGAGATGAACGGCTGCCCTGACGTCGCAAGACAAATCTGGATTCGCTACCATGCTACGGTTATGGAGATGAGTACTGTTGGACTTGAGAGCCTGATGCGGGTGTAAGTTACAACTGTTACATGCAGGGAATCTGTTCCCTCGGTGGGCCATCGAGTACTTACATATACAAGGGCGTCCAACGCCTCGGCAACCTCTGAATTCAACACGCTGTCCTTTGCAGCTGTCGCCTGGGCACAAGCGATATGTTCGACGTATGTGACGAGCTCTGTTATCGCATCCTGATCCCGCTGCTCTAGCTGAACCTGTTGCAGCTTCGACTTGAAGGCCTCGTCTATGTTAGCGGACGTAATGGGAGTGATATCCTTGGGAATCTCTATGCCGTCCCACCACTGCCACGTTTCACTCATCATAAATTTGCCACCAAATCGAATGCGAAAGTTCGGTGTCATCATTGAAACGAGAACATCCTCGAGTTGCTTTCTGAGGCCAGCGATGACGGGATCCGCCAAAATTACGGTTCTGTATTCCCTTGCTTTGCGTAATTCGAGAAATACTGCCTTGACCAAGGGTTCGATATCACGCTTCGAGTTCTTAAGCGTTTTGTTCTGCCAGTCCCATTTCGTGATGCGCATGGCGTAGGCACCACTGCCTCGGATAGAGTGTAAGCCCACTTTTGAAACATTCTTCATTGATGCCATGAGCTGCTTGAACGCTCGTTAATCGTCTCCTGGAAGTTTATCGAAAGCATTATTGATCTGCGTCATGTCTTTGGGACGGTCCTGTTGGGTCTCCTTCTCGCTGGTTGTTGACATCGTGTTGTGAAGGTGGAAGATTAGAGTGTTTCGACGCTCCCACAAGAAATGACATAGCTTTCATGATGATGATCAGCGAGCAGCTTGTGATACATGAACATGTCATACCTGTAAATCCGCGTCTGGTGCATAGACCCTTACCATATGGTATATTAAAACTTCGCTCTTATCGTCCATATTGTGGCTTTTCCTATGAATAACAGGGTAATGATCGAGAAGGGGCTCAAACCATCTGCAGATCTGGTGTTATTTAGCGTAATAATGAACACGGAGACTGAGGACAGATAGAAAAACTACACACTTCAATGAACCCTTCCTTCACGGCATTGAGTGATGACCATGCATAGTCCAGCAACCAAGCAGACAACAAGGGCATAGGTGCGTGGCTTGTATCACCCTGAGGTGACAACCACACAGCAATACGAGCTGTGATCCTGTCATACCATCGCATGTTATCGTTTGCCTCGATGATGGCGTCGCTGCTCCCTTCCAACCATTTTGTTCGCAAGAATTTTATGACTCGATGGTGGTAGTCATGCAAAGCATCTAGGTATGCGTCGGTCTTCTCACCTATGTCAGTGTGAACACGTGCGAACACTTCCTCGGTGTAAGTATCAATCTTATAGAACACATCATTGAAAACCGTGAGGTCTGATGCGTCCTGCGAGTTAGTGATCTGCATTTTCCATAGGGCAATTTGTTTCCGAGCTTCAGCACCCTCGAGACCATCATCATCGGCCCGTTCTAGGGTGGCGTTTACGGTCTTATAATCGGGAAAATTGTCGTTGGATGCCAACTTCTTCATGGTCTCAGCCTGCGACACAATGAAACCGGAGGTACAACTTGATAACATGATGAACAGTCGCATTAGCATTAAACAATAAAGAAACTCACTCCCATCACCGTATCAATAGATTTCTCCAGCCAAATGACAGAAAACTCCTGCCGCTCACGGAAGTGACGACCAAGGGGGAGGAGCACACAGGCTACAACTAAAATGAGCTTTTCATAACTGAGGACCTTCACCATGCGTGAATTGTGACCCAGATGTCTGCGTTCTTGTGCAAGTTTTGCTTTAGCACTCTTGTAAGACAGGTCATTTGATGATGATATGTGCGCCTGGAGAATTTCTTCGAGAATGGCACTCAAAGCCGACTCTTCGGACATCCCGGTTATGCGCGAATTGAAACAACCTGTTACTAAGTAATACTAACAGAAGTTGCACCTAGATGGGATTGTTTGGCAAAGGCTTCTGATCCAAACAACCCTTTGGAGATCGCAAATTTTGAGGAGTCAACGAAAGCCAGCTGAAACAGCTACACCTCATGACCACCACCTATCCTCGTAACCAGTAGTGCTATATTTTTTGCTGACCATCCTTTGCGACATTCTGTAAGCCATGGATTCGGACTCAGACTCAGGCTTGGACTTTGAGGGAACTAGTGCGCTTCCCCGCGTGAACCGATTCAAGGTGCTTCAAACTTTGTCGAGCTCGTTCTTTTGATTGACTGCGCATCTATTAGCACCAATCTTACAAGAAAAGCCTAAAGGAGGTCCATCTACCATCTGCTCTTGACCTCACGAAGTTCGATCATGACATCTCGGTGAGTTCGAGGTTGGTTCCATCGATTCACCTGGATTTCTCAAACAGGTCTAGGACAACGAATCCCACTTTTACCTAGCTCTTCAACAATGGCGTCAACTCAATCTTTCCCCAGCGTTTATTCAGTTTGCGAACAAGGTTGACTCACTCTCGATATCTATGCCCATACTCTTGCATAACTGGAAGGAGATTATTACCTTATGGAATGGTGCTTTGGATGCATCAGACAATGAAGCTTTGATAGCTCTACTTGAGTGCGCCCCTCAGCTTGACACATGATTTAATATTCTCTAACCGCATAACTACTTAGCCTCCTGAATAAGCTGGCTCACGATCTACGAACCACTCTTGCTCCGTCATATGTGGATTTGCTAGAGGTCCTCTTGCGACTTCTGCCACGACCTATATCAGCGCCCTCCCTTACAGCTCTCCTGGCGACACTGTCAGGACTATTCAGGTATCTTCTCGTACCGTCAATCAATCTTGATCTTTTGGACCAGACGTGGTCTTCTTTTCGCGCGGGTACTTCCAACCTGCAATTCTGATGTTCAACGCGCCGCAGCCGAGGTGTGGGGTTCCGTTCTCCGGCGGCTGAAGAGCGTTGCGAGGGAGAAAGCTGTGATTTTGATGGCACAGAATTTGGAAGGCGTCGAGGATGCCAGCGCGTGGATGATGATATTCGCGTGCAAAGTACGTGCGCTACTTGCTTTTAGTTGCTAATTCTAATGCGCCTGCAGTCTGTTTCACAAACCTTGCACACCAGTGCAGGATCATCAATGGCCTTTCTCATCAACTGCCACCTAACAGGTGATCGCCCCGAATTGACGTATACTCTCCTGCGGCGTGTGCTGACCGCCTTGATTCACCACTGTAATGGCCCGGAACACTTTTCGATTGTTGCCAGCCTGATCGTTGATCGCTTCTGTGCTGTGTCACAGGCTGATGACGCTAATCACCAGCATCTTCAACGTGTCATGCAAATCACGTCCGTCATCTGCGCAGTTCGTCAAGGATCGCGACTGTCCTGTATGTCGTCGTTTTTTCTCAGTCTTGCGCACCCGTTGAACTTTGCACCTTGTAGCAAACCATCTAACACAGCTTGCCTCAAGACTGGCGTCGCTACCGCTTGATGTCCCTCTGCATTCCGAGATTTTGAATTTTGCATCTTCACTCCTCACTGCTGGTGATATGTCAATGTCCACAGGGCCAGGACGTGTATTTGTCGCTCGCGCTCTTGGTGTTCCTTCATTCGGCTTGATGCTCTGCGGTGTCCTCGCGGAGCTAGGGTGGGGTGGTTGGAAGCTTGTCGGACTACCTGCCCTTCTCAAAGCAACCCCTAGTCTCCTTCAGGCGGAGCCCACCCTCACGTTACGTGTTCTCGCGTCTCTGCAACATTCCGGGAAGCTGGGCGAGGTTGATATCGTCTGGAAACGAAGCGTCGATAGCTGGATACAGACTCGCTTATCTAGCTGGGAAATTACTGACGAGTCGGTGGATGATTTGTACGACATCATGAGTCTCTCCGTATTCGTCGACTCATTGGCGCCCTTGTTGGTGCCCATCATTGAACGCGCACTGAACACGTCGACACCCGAAGCGAATTGGCAAGCATCACATGCTAATGCGGCTTGGGTGATCGGAACATGCATGCAAGCTTTGTCTCGATGCAAGTCAGCTTCCTGGGAAACGCAAGTAGATCTGTCCGCATGGACGACGAAGATCGTAGAGCATTGGTCGTGGTCTGACAAAGTGTTGATCGGTCTGGTCGCACTACTTGACACATGGTAATTCCGTGACCTTATTCTGGTTTATTCTTGCTGACACGAGATAGCCCTTCGTCTCAGTCTTTTTTAATCACTCAGTTATATTCCTGTCTGCAATCACGGCTACTTTCCCCTTCTCGACCATTGCGTTCAAATGTGTTGGGATTATTGACATCGAAGATGGTTAAATCTTCCCCCGGTGAACACGAGGCGCTGAAGCGCTGTCTGCAGGGCGACGAAGTGTCCCTTGACATGCATGGCGTGCGCGAGCGCGTTCTCCGAATAGGCAGATTATACCAGGTTGTGAGAGACGATGATTCACTTTCCGCTGATATCTGCGTTCGGTGGCTTGTTTGTATGTATGCTGTTCCATTTACGCAACACTTCGCTGATGACATATCAGCTCAACTGAAGGTCAACTTACGGCCGATATGGTCCCCAGCGTCACAAGCTCTCTCTTCTTTAGCCCAGAAGTTTGGCGATGTCGTCTGGAATATCATATTCTCGGAGCTACAACAACCCCAGGGAGCCAATCAAATTCCTGACTGGCTGACTGCTACCAAGGATGATCACAGTGACATGGATCCATGGGAAGAAGAGCGATCTTGGAGAGACCCCACCGCACATCAGGTTCGGGGTGCTGCTGTAAGTTGGCTAGATAAATTTCACCACCGCAAAATCATCATTTCAGTAAGTCTTCTATCTAGCGCTTTAACCAGTCTCTTATTAACGATGAGGCATAGGAACAAAAAGCGTCTGATCGGTTTGATCCCGTCACGTTCGAAGCTCAGATCCTCCTCACTCTCGGACAATGCACATCTCTGGCGGAAAAACATAACCGCGAGTTAGTGACATACTTCATTTCAATCGCAGGTCCGGATGCTCCATCACGATTGCCAAAATATAAGCTTCAGGCGTGGTTGACGCTGTTCAGCAAGTTTAGCAATCCAAAGGCTTTGCACTCCACAGATACTCTGCGAGAACTGTACCGCTCCCTCCTATCCCATCCCGATCGGGCACTGCAAACGGTGTCTTTATCCTGTTTGCTCGCGTATAAGTCGCCCTACCTCCAGCATCACGAGACGAAGTTAGGCTTACTCCTCGACGAAACTAAATGGAGAGACGAGTTGACATCTTTGCATATGCCATCGATAGAGATCAAGGACCGGCCCCAAGTAGTGGATATCATCGTTCGTCTGCTGTATGGCCTTATGTTGGAAAAGAAGGGTCGCTCTAGAGGCAGTGATCGCCGAGCTGCCGTGCTGACAGCACTGGCAGGATGCACAGACGAGGAGCTCCATCTTCTAGTGGATCTGATGTTGAAACCAATGCAATCGGACAGCCATGCTCACCAGGACAACCTCTTCTCGCCCCGCCCTATTTCCCCAGATATCTCGTTAAAGCAGCAGTCTGGTTACCTGACTTTGTTGGGCGACGTGCTGAAGAACCTTGGGTCAAGATTAACCGCATATTGGCCGACTCTACTCGGGACCACGCTTGATATAGTTGCTAATGCTCAGAATCATTTGTCGAATGTAACGGCAGTCGATGCGGATGAGCAGGTGGATGATGAAGCGGACGAAGAGGAGAGCGAGTCCGGAGAGGTATTGAATTCCAGAGTTTTGCGTTCTTTGAGGCAACAAGGCCTCAAGCGGCTTGCCGATTTCTTCCGCTGCCCCGTCGAATTTGACTTCACGTCCTATATCTCCGCATCATTTCCCGCTATTGTGGCTCCACGTCTGGAGTTATTGGATCAAGAAAATACTCAAGCCCCTTCCGCGCTCCTGGAATTGTTCTATGTTTGGACCAGTCAGCCAAAATATTCCGTCCATCTCGTACAACACGACTCCCGTGTACTGCCAAAGGTTCTCGACTGCCTTGTGGCGGTTAATGTCAAGCCAGCAGTGATCAACAGAGTCTTCGACATCGTGGAGCGCCTGCTGTCGTATTCCGCGGACGACAGCAAACTTTTGGATCTGCTCGTTCAGCCACATATATCGCAGTTGCTCAAGAACCTTACAACTTTGGTCGAACGCACGAAGGCCGATGCAGCACTTTCAAGTCCAATCACTCAACGCCAAATCAGCATACTTTCGGAGGTCGCTCGTTACGCTGAAGATTCTACGCAGGCCTTGACTCTTCTTGGTCTTCTCTCCCCTTTGTTGCGCAAATCCAGCAGAATCATATCTGAGAAAATCAAAGTCAAACTTCTCAGCACCCTCGGCCATATATTCCCTCTCCTGACTGAGCTGTCAAATTCCTCCTCCGTCGAATTCTCGAAGACATACGAGCTTCTTTCGCAGCTCTTTATGTCGCTTCGCTTCACCGCCTCTCGACTCGCCCTCACCTCAGCTTTCAATCAGCTCTCAGTGATTAATCCGAGCATTCAAGAACTTGCAAGCCTGCTTGAATCACTCAATGCCTGCTCGTCAAAGCGAATTGATGAACCTGACTTTAATCGTCGGCTAACCGCGTTCATGCTGCTCAACGAGCAGAAGTACGCTGCGTTATCATGCCGTGAATGGCTTCCTGTCCTTTCGAATGCCCTTTTTTCTGTGCAGGACGCCGACGAGCTGGCCATCCGCAATAACGCCGCTTTCACAATCAGACGCTTCATCGACCTTACATGCGACCCATCAAATTCAGAATTCGAAGCGCTTCTCATGCGAACTACCCTTCCGGCATTGAAAAACGCCTTGAAATCCAAGCACGAGCTTGTCCGTGCAGAGTCGCTTGGTGTTATCTCGTACGCAGTGTCAAAATGTGACAGGATCCCCTCCCTGCAGGAGATGCGTCCGCTTCTTGCTGGTGGTGACGAGGAAGCTAGTTTCTTCAGCAATATCCATCACATACAAATTCATCGTCGCACAAGAGCTTTGAGACGCCTTGCCGAGTACTGTGATGAGGGGGCCATGCGCAGTAGAACGCTAGTTGAAGTCTTCCTTCCGCTCGTTGAACATTACATTGTTCCAACAGCCTCGCTGGATCATCTCCTCGTCTCAGAAGCGATCAATTCGACTGGACGCATTGCGAAACACCTTGGGTGGAGTGCATACTCGGCCCTCGTGCACAAGTACATCCGGGCGTCAAAAGACAAGAGTGAAGGCGTCCGGGTTTATGTTCGTGCTTTGGTTGCGATCCTTGAAAACTTCCACTTTTCCGTCGAAGAAGCTGTGCAACAAGTCGATACGTCCGCAGATGACATTGCAAACGGCGATCACGAGGGGTTGGTAGAGGATTCGCCGCCCATTCCCTCGGCTGATAAACAGGATACCAAAAAAATTGCCGATGCTGTTCATACCCGCCTTCTGCCTTCACTTTTGGCTTACCTCTCTAATCGCGATGAGACAGAGGACTCCCTTCGCATTCCGATATCGATGGGCATTGCTAAGGTTGCCTTGCATCTACCCCCTGCCTCCCGAGATCTGCAAGTAGGCAGGCTCCTAACAGCCCTCAGTCAGATATTGCGTAGCAAGTCACAAGATACTCGCGACCTCGTGCGAGATACGATCTGCAGGATAGCTGTCGCACTGGGCTCCCCTTATCTAGCTGTCCTGTTGCGGGAGCTCCGTGCAGCACTCTTGCGTGGACCACAACTACACGTTCTAGCATTTGTATTCCACGCAGTGCTTACCCATGTCACATCTGCGCAGGGTAGCAATGACCCTGCCATTCAAGATCTGGATGACTGTGTCGCCGATATTGCCCATGTCTCCGCTGAAGTGATTTTCGGAGAGTCAGGAAAGGATGTGCAGCACGAAGACTTCCGGACGAAAATGCGTGAAGTACGCAGTAGCTCTTCCAAGGGACTCGATTGCTTCGGGTTGGCAGCTCGATACATTTCTCCCAAACGCATCAGTGCGCTCCTCCTGCCGTTGCGCTCTATCGTTGCAGAAACGGGTTCCTTGAAGACCCTACAGCAGGTTGACGAAGTTCTCAGACGTATTGCCAGTGGACTCAATAGCAATGCAAGGCTTACGCCTGCTGAATGTTTGGTTCTGTGCCACACCCTGATTAGTCAAAATGCCAAATTCTTGCAGGAAGCCCCCAAGCCCAAAGCGAGCAAGACTATCAAAAAAGCTGATGCTATCGTCCAGCGACAACGTCAAATCGTCACGGACACTGACCATTACACGAACAATTCTTTCCGGTGAGCCTCGTATCATGCATTCACCGTATCTTTTTCACTCATCGGGCTCCGCAGTTTTGTCGTCTTCGGTTTGGAGCTCTTCAATACTGCGTTCCGACGCTCTCGATTTGACTTTCAGGACAAGCAGATCATCAATCGTTTGGATCCGCTTGTAAAGCTCATCGGAAATGGTCTTTATTCATCCTCGGAACCAGTCCTTATCGCTTCTTTCAAGGCGTCGGCCAGCATCCTCCAGTGTCCACTCAAGTCAGTCCCATCGTCTGCACCAGTCATTGCCCGTCAAATACTCGCCATCGTCCGTTCTACTGGCAGTGTGGAGTCTGAAGTTACTCAAGCTGGTCTCAAGGCTCTGGCAAGTATACTACGAGAGTGCGAAGGCGCTCAGGTCAAAGAGAAAGATCTCCTCTTCCTGATCGAATTTGTTTCACCGTACCTCGAGGACCCCGACAGGCAGAGCACCGTTTTTGCGTTACTGAGAGCTATTGTGGCACGACGACTGATTGTGCCTGAGCTTTACGACGTTATGGCTGACGTATCCGCTATCTTGGTCACGTCACAAGCAACACAGACTCGCGAGTCTGCTCGGTCCCTTCTCCTTCAGTTTCTCCTCGACTATCCTCAAGGCTCTGGGAGACTACAAACCACCCTCAGTTTCTTCGCCCGAAATCTTTCGTATGAACATGCGTCAGGACGTTCAAGTGTTCTCGAACTTTTAGGTGCGCTTGTGAACAAGTTCGACTCTGCATTACTGGCAAAACACGCGGAGATGATCTTCGTTGCCCTTGTACTCTGTCTTGCCAACGACGAGGATAAGTCTTGCAGAGAAGCTTCTGCATCAGTCCTTCAAAGCTTGATCAAACGGTTGGGAGAGGACGAGAGAAAAGTTTTAGTTGGTCATCTGCATGCATGGACCAGTCAACAAGGGCAGGCAAAACTTAGGGCAGTTGCGGTGCAGGTATATGGACTCATCATTGGCGCTTTACAACGGGACGCTTCCCCGCATGCTGCTGCCCTGTTTGCCGATGTTCAGCAGATCTTGGACGACAGCATTCAGTCGCTGACCCTGTCAGATGACGATGGAGAAGACATGGATATTGACGTGGAATGGCAACCGCCGTACCAGGCATTGCTTGCTGTCTCGAAGCTCCTGCAGACCTTACCTGAGCATACGCTTGATGCGGTGAAAAGCATCCAGGACAAACTCGTCCCATACCTTCTTTTCCCGCACGCTTGGGTACGCTCAGCAGCTTGTCGGTTATTGGGCGTGTTCTTCGCATTTTACGGCCCCACCCCTACTCTCGAGAGTTCACACCTTACCCTCCAGTCGATGAACGACATTGCAGGAAAGCTATGCGCACAGTTGAAGAGCTCCAATCTCGACGCACCTCTTGGTCTACAGATTGTGAAGAACCTTTTCTTCGTCGGAAAACTGTTCTGCACTGTCCCCTCTTCCTCACCCTCCGGGAGTAATACCAACGACACAGCTGAGATGGACTCAGATGGTGGTGAGAGCGATGACTCCGCTGAACAACCAAAACCTACGCAAACGAGTCGAGGAAAACCCTCTCAGGATCCTCTACCTTGGCTCTTCTCCAAGCTGTCATATCAAGCTCGCTCAGCCCACATCGCACGGCGGAATCGCGGTAATACTTCTGTGAGTTCGGTTAATGCCATTTATTTGACTTTCTCTGACTTTCTGTTTCAGAATCAAAAAACTTGGTCGTTGGCTCCCTTGTCGATTCTGCGCTTCTTTGCTGCTATGGCGTCTCACATGGAGGGCACTCAGCTAGAGCGGTTCTTGCCACATATACTTACACCTGTCTATCGGATAACGGAGGACGATACAATCCGGGATGCGGGAATGGGTACGCATATCGCTTATCAAGTTGCTCATATATTCATTGCATTACAGAGGAGTTGAAAGTTACGGCCACCGAACTTCTCGACTTGCTTCAGAACAAAGTTGGCACGACGGTTTTTGCCAATACGTACAACCGTATCAGGCAGGGAGCATCCAGCATCCAGCAGGAAAGACGAGTGGCGCGGGCCACGAAGGTGGGTTGGGTTCTATTCATCTTGCACTTGGTACTCATTACTCCGAGCAGGCGACCACCAACCCAGAAGCTGCTGCCAAACGCAAACTAGCTCGAAATGCAGGCAAGAAGGAGAGCCGGAAGAGAAAGAACCGTGCCTTTGCGTAAGTGTTACAAAGTGCTGTTTATTCACAGACTAAGTCGGATGTCAATTTACAGCGACAGTAGAGGGAGGCTAAAGAGACAAAAGAAGGAGAGTAGCATCGACGCCATTCATCCGAGTCATCAATAATCTATCATAGATTCCTTACATTTGTTGTTTATAACACTCAATTGAGTTGCTTGTTCTTTCTTTCTACCTGCTCTTGGAAGCCAGGAGCCGCAGTTTACGTCGGTAACATAGAATGAGATCAGCCTGGACATTGCTCAGACATAAAAGGGAGTTCCCCTGTGAGATACCTAGTACTGTTATATCGTTTCTATGAGCACGGGTAGTCTGACATGCTCCACCCATCGTATGCGCTATATTCTGTGCTCGATTATTGAGTTTCATGTACCCGATTATCGATTATTCCCGAATCCCTATTGAACTCGATTTATGTGTTCAGGTTCCTCTAAATCACAGTAGATCTCGTATCATCCCAGGAAGTAGAAACCAGCCAGATCAGAAGCAGTAATTAACCAGCGTGTCCGGTAGTTCTTGTTCATCTGCAAGCCTGTCATCGCCGAGTGTTGCACATCCGCGAAGGGTGATTTCGGCTGCTAATAGTGGGTGATCCTGAGGCGCATGCGTATAGAATATGGCGGTGGAGTGTCCATTCGCACTCTGGCAGCGGATGTGGATGTTTGAATAGTAAGTCCTTGATGTCGATGCTGGCAGGTCAGCTGTAGCAAGCTACAAGGCATTCCAAATATATATACCTGAGTTGTGCGTGCGTAATACTTCCCTGAATATAAACATATGATATGGTAGTAGCCTCAGTCTCTGTACATGATGGTAGAGAAACGAGTGTGCACGTGGGCAGAACAACAGTTGTACACCAAATTTACGTACGGCGTTGGCGCCAATCTGCTTGCCCACTGACCACTATCGCACCAGTTGACAACACACCATGGTGAGAGCAGAGCGAAAATATATCGACCTCATGAGGCAAACTACCTCAGGGCTCTTTGGTAACTGGGATCCAGAGAGCCCAATCAAGGTCAGCGACATCGCGTTGACGTAGAATGGGCACGCTGATTGAGTGGCGCAGGTCGGATCGTATGGCCGTTTCGACCTTGATACGACACGATTCACTGTCCTCGGCAACATCTATGATCCAGAATTCCAAGTCTTACTCGATGCTGTCGATGGGAGGTTCAAGATGTCGGATTATCCGCCAGAGTTGGATCCAGTAGAACAGGATATGATTATCACCTCCACGGGTGCTAGGAAGCAACCCTTTGATCCAGGGGCAGATGCGTGAGTGTAACTGAGAGGATCTTGTTGGATTATTGTCCTGACTGTCTGCTAGCAAGAAAGAGAACTTCAGGAAAGCTTCATTCAAGATGAGTTTCAGGCACCTCCCTGGCAAGCGAAGTACTGTGCTTGTCGTGCACAAGCCCCGTCTGTATCACGTTCCGCGTAATAAAGTGCTCGAGGTGCTATACAGAATACCAGAACTCAATGGTCTATTCATCATTCCATCGGTCTACAAGTGCCGCGCATGGTCTATCTATCTGTCAAGTAAAGGTATGTTCTTTCTGTTCCAATCCATGACTCGTGCTCATGTCTATGATCAAGTCGAAGAGATTGTATCTGTGGCACTTCTTCCGTCGAAGGTTGGCTTCGACCTTGAATGGTGGTCCAACTCGGACTCGGACTTCCTCCGCCAGGGCACCGACAAGGATGGCTTCGCTTCACCACTCTTCACCGCAAAACAAAAGCTCCCGTTGATCCGACGTTATATGCGCGGTATGCCCGTACCAGACCCTGAACCAGGCGATAAATTGTATGTTACCCCTGTAGCATTTGACAAGTTGATCACGCTTACTGATTCGCAACATAGCTGGATAGATGGATGTCCAGGTTGGGAGCCCGTTGATGAGGATGGTTATGATGATCCTATATGGGAAGAGGTAATTGTCAATTTCTCCTCAGTTTCGGGAAGCCTCGCTCATTGTTATTCCCGCAGGATTACGAGCCGCCTGTGGCGAGAGTGTGGCGACGCATCATGTGTAAATCTACGGCGCGGTGGTGAATACTTTTACTACCTTATCTTCTTTGTGATGCTTTGTGTATTGTAGTATGTAGTACGGACAGTATCACGGATTATGTAGGCAGACCAACTTGGATAAGTATACAGGTCAAGCTGAAAGTGTCATAATGACTCTGAATTCTCCTCCTTGAACAAAGAACTCGGATGTGACGTCAGAGTTGCCTGTAGCGGCGGAATTTCTTCAAAATCTAGATCACCAACAGAACAAATTGGCAAATATTATAAGCTGCTTCACCTCGATGAGTCGGTCCTGTTTACTACCTATAATTACATCACATCCATCTTCCACTAACCCCCCTGCCCTGCAACCTCACTGGCAAGCGCTCATCCTCAACTAAAAGTTGGCCTGCAACCAAATCTAGTCCGTAACTCTCACGAATTTGTCGACATCCAAGACTAAAATTTGGAAATACATCAAGGTGTGTACACACCCTCAACTTCAACCACACAGCTAACAAAAAACGACTGGCAGAACGTATTTCGCCTCTTCAAGACGCCCTCCGTTAATTCAGTACAACCTTATTCGAGCTCGCCCAAACCAAATACGGTGCGTCCCCTATCTCCACTTGAGTCGTTCTTCAATCGAGTTGCCCTCCCACAACGCACTCTGCTAAAACTATGCTAATCCAAGACGCCAAAATTTCCAACGTCACTGGCGCCTATGGTGCTGCCCCTGGTATCACGTTCAATCGCTTTGTGTGGTTATCAAGCAGCTGAGCGGAGCGCTCCAGGGTCTCGTATTTATCATCAGTTTATGTAGACTGTTTTGAAGTGGTCGTTTGGGATGGGATCAGGAGAGGAAGGGGGGGAATGTTCAAAGCTTGTAGTTAGTCGGCGACAGCAACGAAATAATGTATGTGAGATATCTGCCTTCTTGTTCTCGTACCGCCGCCAATAATATTGGAATATGCTCTGACGCAAGTCTGCCGCAATTAACATCTCATCCATCCTGCCCCCGCCGCTTTTTCTCGTGTCTGTCCACTTCCTTTCATTCCTCGCTTGCCAATATCGAGCTTATTGTAATCTTTTGCAACTGGTCATTTCAGAGATATCCTATTTCAGTCGGGTGGCAAGTTGTTATACTTGTGCAGGCGGTCAGATGAGCACTGCAATTAAGTCGGCGGAAGACAGTCATATGAAGCTAGTCTGCCCTAACCAGAGCAATCTCGGAGCTCGGAAGGAAGATGCCAATTATCACTTCCATTATTGTGGCTCGGGCGCTCAAAGAGTTCACACACTGTTACCTTTCTCCATCATGGACTCGCACTCGGATCCTTCAAAGTTGAGACGGAAATTCAAGCGTTTCCGAATCCTCATCATAGGAAGAGCGAATGCAGGGAAAACCACCATCCTCCAGAGGGTTTGCAAGACACGGGAGAACCCAGAAATATATAACAGCCACGGGAGAAAGGTGCGAAACGTGACACTAGTGTACTAGGACTGATTGACCGATGAACATCGAAAATCAGATCGATCCCGCTGTGTTGACGGCATCCAGAGAGGTAGGGTGTGTTCTTGATGGTTGGTAACATCGCTTGACGAGTTCTCAGCGCGGAGTGCACGATATCGAGAACGAAATGGTGTTTCGAAACAACCCAGGATTCGTCTTTCACGATTCACGCGGGTTTGAGGCAGGAGGACAATCCGAATTCGACAAGGTGAAGGCTTTTATCGCAAGGCGTTCTAAGGAGAGAAATTTGAATGAACGAATCCATGTCATATGGTGCTTGATCTTTTTTTTTCGTGTGCGCTATCTCACATCTTTGGCATAGGTACTGCATTCCGATGGATGAGGATGGCAGGTCTTTCACGGAAGCGGAAGCCAAGTTTTTCTCTCAGTGTGACACTGGAAGCAGTAAGTCTTTGTATCTGCTGTCGTGTATCGTTGACTCATGCGCAATCTTTAGTTGCAGTAATAGTACTGTTCACTAAATTTGACGCTCTCTACGACGATGAATTTGCAGAGCTAATAAGTAAGGGAGTATCGAGAACAGATGCTGAAGCGCTGGCCCCGCAGCATGCCAAGGAAGCATTTGCCAATGGGCAACAACTAAAGCTTTTGTACAACCGCAAGGGCAACCAACGTCCTCCAAGATGTCACATATGTCTACCTGGTAAGTCGATCAATTCTTAAGCTGCCAATCAATTTGCTGCTTATCTTGGCTCTCGTCCATTTAGATATGGACAAGGATGATGCAGACTGTAGACCACTTATCGAACGCACGGCTGAAACCCTGGATGATGATACGCTCAAACAGATGTTTGTCTCGACTCAGCGGACCAGCTTGGAGATGTGCATGAGATATGCAGTCGAAAGGTAACTTGTCACACATCACTTATCTATGACGAGAGATAACTCACTGTGTATTGAGGTCACTTGCACAGCATCTTGATGCCACCCAGGCCATCTCATCGCGCATATTTGGGAAATCTGAGTCCGATCGCGAGATTGTAAACGATTTGGGGGCATGGTTTCCGCAAACTGCAGTGAGATCATAGAAATTTTCGAAAATTCCTCTCATTCATATTTGACGGTTACTTGTAGGTAGTGCGTCTGGTCACATTTCTGCCAGCATGCTGACCTAAGGCTTGGGCATTGCTGACCCGTTGACAGGACGTGAGTAGGTTGATCCTCTGTCGAGCTCGAGGCTCGCTGACCGAACGCGTCCCTGATCCCTTGACAGGCTGTGAGTGTGTTGATCCTCCGTCGAGCTCGAGGCTCGCTGACCGAACGCGTCCCTGATCCCTTGACAGGCTGTGAGTGTGTTGATCCTCCGTCGAGCTCGAGGCTCGCTGACCGAACGCGTCCCTGATTCCTTGGCAGTATGTGAGTGTGTTGATCCTCCGTCGAGCTCGAGCCTCGCTGACCGAACGCGTCCCTGATCCCTTGACAGGATGTGAGTGTGTTGATCCTGTGTGGAGCTCGAGCCTCGCTGACCGAACGCGTCCCTGATCCCTTGACAGAATGTGAGTGTGTTGATCCTGTGTCGAGCTCGAGCCTCGCTGACCGAACGCGTCCCTGATCCCTTGACAGTGGGTGAGTTTGTTGATCCTGTGTCGAGCTCGAGCCTCGCTGACCGAACGCGTCCCTGATCCCTTGGCAGTATGTGAGTGTGTTGATCCTGTGTCGAGCTCGAGCCTCGCTGACCGAACGCGTCCCTGATCCCTTGACAGCTTGTGAGTGTGTTGATCCTGTGTCGAGCTCGAGCCTCGCTGACCGAACGCGTCCCTGATCCCTTGACAGGCTGTGAGTGTGTTGATCCTGTGTCGAGCTCGAGCCTCGCTGACCGAACGCTTCCCTGATCCCTTGACAGCTTGTGAGCGTGTTGATCCTGTGTCGAGCTCGAGCCTCGCTGACCGAACGCTTCCCTGATCCCTTGGCAGTATGTGAGTGTGTTGATCCTGTGTTGAGCTCGAGGCTCGCTGACCGAACGCGTCCCTGATCCCTTGACAGGATGTGAGTGTGTTGATCCTGTGTCGAGCTCGAGCCTCGCTGACCGAACGCGTCCCTGATCCCTTGACAGACTGTGAGTGTGTTGATCCTGTGTCGAGCTCGAGCCTCGCTGACCGAACGCGTCCCTGATCCCTTGACAGAAAGTGAGTGTGTTGATCCTCCGTCGAGCTCCAGCACTGATATGTTAATAATGACAGGATGCAAGTAGACTTATCCTTGACCATTTCCGCCTTTTGATCATGATTTATCAGGTTTACCGCCCCGAAGACGAGGAGATGTGGTCCACGTTACGACTTTTGGCATGTCCCATTGCTCACAGCTCGTCCACATAATCCTCATCTCAAAGGTTTGTTAGCCCTCTGAGTCGTCAACATTGGAGCAAATTATGCAGCTTGGTTCTGGTGAGATTTTAAGCCACATTGCAATGAGTCTGCTGATTATTGATCTTAAGCTGCTGTTATTATCTTCGAAAACGTTTTTTATCTTCTGAACCAGCCTCAAGAGGAGCGGGAGCCCATTCACCCTGTTCGTGTCGTTCTCCAGCAATACATGGCGTCCCCCAATGCGGCTGCCGTCAGGATAGCTCTGAACTCTGCCATTCATACATATGAAGCAGGCTTCTCTCGGTGGATACCAGGGTCGGCCAAACGCTCTCAGAAGAAGGCAGACTTGATCAAGACAATTACTGAAGTTGTTTTGCAGCACCGTCTGCGTATGTGATATCTGGTGCAGTTGTCGCAGTCCCACTGATATATCCGTATTCAGCAATACCTGGAGTCCAAGCAATATGACGATATTGAGCTCAGCGAATTGCGGTTTCTGGATTGGCTGATGGCATTCCGCGGAGGTGGTCAAGGAGTTGGAACTGTATGAAACATTGTATGATTAAGTAATTGGCGGTTGTTTCGTATTATGGTGGACGCGCGTGTGATGGACAACATCCTACTTATTTCGTACGATGTTGTAACTTTCTTCAAAGACAAGAACTGTATATTTCTATACAAATTCTTTCGGGTTGGCTGGATGGGCTGCGGCGCTGACGCACAGCGACGTGATAGGTGTGCTTTCACGTTGTACGTCCCTAGTATTACGCCATGGTTGAATCGATCGACAGTGACATTGATACAAAATATGTCAAAGTACATTCTCAGCGTTAACTGGCGCACTGTCAGTACATCTCTGACCGACTCTCGATACTGATAGAAAGTTAGCACATAAATAGGGATCAAGTTAAAAGCCGACATTTACCATCGAGAACCAACGCCGGGAGGTTACAAAGGACATGACGTGTCAAACTTCAAACTTCATAAGCCTGAGGTGAGCGAGTTTGCTTTTGGAATGTCACCCACTTACAGCTATTGAGCAGGACATTATCTAATATCTCCATCACTACCATCAAAGGACATGATCATTTTCAACCGAGATCAGAAGTGTCGATTTTGCCAAGTGGTGAGCAGTGCGAGAGGTGCTGAGCAAGTTAAAAGTGTCATAACGACTCTGAGTTCCTCCTTGAACAAAGGACTCGGATGTGACGCCAGAGTTGCCTGTAGCGTCGGCTTGTTACAAGCCACATGTAGGAGGACAGATTTATACCTTCATGGGATGCGGACAAGCTATTACATCATAGATGAAAGCGGCCTTTCAATTCCGTCAAAATCTAGATCACCAACAGAATCTGCAGATTGGCAAATATTACAAGCTGGAGTCAGTGTCGGTCCTTCTTCCACTAACCCCTGCCCTGCAACCTAGCTAAAGCGCTCATCCTCAACGTCTGCAACCAAATCTAGTCCATTGTCGACATCTACAACTAAAATTTGGAAATACATCTTACATGCACCCTCAGCTTCAACCACACAACCAACCTAAAAAAACGACTGGCAGAACGTATTTCGCCACTTCAAGACGCCCTCCGTTAATTCGGTACAACCTTATTCGAGCTCGCCCAAACCAAATACGGTGCGTCCCCTATCTTCACTTGAGTCGTTCTTCAATCGAGTTGCCCTCCTACAACTCACTCTGTTAAAAACTATGCTAATCCAAGACGCCAAAGTTTCCAACGTCACTAATGCCTATGGTGCTGCCCCTGGTATTACATTCAATCGCTTCATTTGCATTTGTGTGGTTATCAAGCAGCTGAGCGGAGCGCTACAGGGTCTCGTATTTATTACGTAGACTGCTTTGAAGTGGTCGTTTTGGGATGGGAGCAGGAGAGGAAGGGAGGGTTAATGCGTAAAGAAGCTTGTAGTTTGTCGGTGACAGCAACAAAATTATGAAATATCTGCCTTCTAGTTCTTGTACCACAGCCAATAGTAATATTGGAATATGCTCAAACGCAAGTCTGCCATAATTACCATCTCATCTTTCCCGGCCCCGCCCGCTTTCTTTCGTGTCTGTCCACTTCCTTTCATTCCTCGCTTGCCAATACCGGGCTTATCGTAAGTTAATAACCTTTTGAAACTGGCCATTTCAGAGATATCCTATTTCAGTCGGGTGACAAGTTGTTATACTTGCGCAGGCGGTCAGATAAGTACTGCAATCAAGTCGGCGGAAGACAGTCATATGAAGCTAGTCTGCCCTAACCAGAGCAATCTCGGAGCTCGGAAGGAAGATATTCCTTATCACTTACATTATCGTGGCTCGGGCGCTCAAAGAGTTCACACACTGTTACCCTTCCTATATCATGCATCCTTCAGAGTTGAGACAGAAAATCAAGCGTTTCCGAATCCTCATCATAGGAAGAGCAAATGCAGGAAAAACCACCATCCTCCAGAGGGTTTGCAAGACACGAGAGAACCCAGAAATATATAACAGCCACGGGAGAAAGGTGCAGTCCATGACACCAGTAGTGACTAGGATGATGATGATTGACCGATGGACATTGGAAATCAGATCGATCTCGCTGTGTTGATGGCATCTAGAGAGGTAGGGCATGTTCTTTGTTCTTGGTAATATTACTTGACGAGTTTTCAGCGCGGACTGCACGATATCGAGAATGAAATGGTGTTTCGAAACAACCCAGGATTTGTCTTTCACGACTCACGCGGGTTTGAGGCAGGAGGACAATCCGAATTCGATAAGGTGAAGGCTTTTATCGCAAGGCGTTGTAGGGAGAGACAATTGAGTGATCGAATCCATGTCATATGGTACCATGTTGGTCAATTTTTTGGCGCGCACCATCTCACATCTTTGGCATAGGTACTGCATTCCGATGGATGAGGATTGCAGGTCTTTCACGGAAGCGGAAGTCAAGTTTTTCTCTCAGTGTGACACTGGAAGCAGTAAGTCTTTGTATCTGCCGTCGTGTATCATCGACTCATGCGCAATTCTCAGTTGCAGTAATAGTGTTGTTCACTAAATTCGACGCTCTCTACGACGATGAATTTGCAGAGCTGATAAATATGGGAGTATCGAGAAAAGAAGCTGAAGCGCTGGCCCCGCAGCGGGCCAAAGAAGCATTTGCCAATGGGCCACAACTAAAACTTTTGTACAACCGCAAGGGCAACCAACGTCCTCCAAGATGTCACATATGTCTACCTGGTAAGTCGATCGATTCTTAAGCTGCTAAACAATTTGTGCTCATCTTGGCTCTCGTCCATTTAGATATGGACAAGGATGATGCAGACTGCAGACCACTTATCGAACGCACGGCTGAAACGCTGGATGATGATACGCTCAAACAGATGTTTGTCTCGACTCAGCGGACTAGCTTGGAGGTGTGCATGAGATATGCAGTCGAAAGGTAATTGGTCACACCTCACTTATCTATGACAAGAGATAACTCACTGTGTATTGAGCTCACTTGCACAGCATCTTGACGCCACCCAGGCAATCTCATCGCGCATATTTGGGAAATCTGAGTCCGATCGCGAGATTGTAAACGATTTGGGGGCATGGTTTCCGCAAACTACAGTGAGATCATAGGAATTTTCGAAAATTCCTCTCATTCATATTTGACGGTTACTTGTAGATAGTGCGTCTGGTCACATTTCTGCCAGCATGCTGACCTAAGGCCCGGGCATTGCTGACCCGTTGACAGGATGTGAGTGTGTTGATCCTGTGTCGAGCTCGAGCCTCGCTGACCGAACGCATCCCTGATCCCTTGACAGAAAGTGAGTGTGTTGATCCTGTGTCGAGCTCGAGCCTCGCTGACCGAACGCGTCCCTGATCCCTTGACAGAAAGTGAGTGTGTTGATCCTGTGTCGAGCTCGAGCCTCGCTGACCGAACGCGTCCCTGATCCCTTGACAGTTTGTGAGCGTGTTGATCCTGTGTCGAGCTCGAGCCTCGCTGACCGAACGCGTCCCTGATCCCTTGACAGCCTGTGAGTGTGTTGATCCTCCGTCGAGCTCGAGCCTCGCTGACCGAACGCGTCCCTGATCCCTTGACAGCCTGTGAGTGTGTTGATCCTGCGTCGAGCTCGAGCCTCGCTGACCGAACGCGTCCCTGATCCCTTGACAGTTTGTGAGTGTGTTGATCCTGCGTCGAGCTCGAGCCTCGCTGACCGAACGCGTCCCTGATCCCTTGACAGGATGTGAGTGTGTTGATCCTGTGTCGAGCTCGAGCCTCGCTGGACCGAACGCGTCCCTGATCCCTTGACAGAATGTGAGTGTGTTGATCCTCCGTCGAGCTCGAGCCTCGCTGACCGAACGCGTCCCTGATCCCTTGACAGGATGTGAGTGTGTTGATCCTGTGTGGAGCTCGAGCCTCGCTGACCGAACGCGTCCCTGATCCCTTGACAGAATGTGAGTGTGTTGATCCTGTGTCGAGCTCGAGCCTCGCTGGACCGAACGCGTCCCTGATCCCTTGACAGTGGGTGAGTTTGTTGATCCTGTGTCGAGCTCGAGCCTCGCTGACCGAACGCGTCCCTGATCCCTTGGCAGTATGTGAGTGTGTTGATCCTGTTGTCGAGCTCGAGCCTCGCTGACCGAACGCGTCCCTGATCCCTTGGCAGTATGTGAGTGTGTTGATCCTGTGTCGAGCTCGAGCCTCGCTGACCGAACGCGTCCCTGATCCCTTGACAGGATGTGAGTGTGTTGATCCTCCGTCGAGCTCCAGCACTGATATGTTAATCATGACAGGATGCAAGTAGACTTATCCTTGACCATTTCTGCCTTTTGATCATGATTTATCAGGTTTACCGCCCCGAAGACAAGGAGATGTGGTCCACGTTACGACTTTTGGCATGTCCCATTGCTCACAGCTCGTCCACATAATTCTCATTTCAAAGGTTTGCTAGCCCTCTGAGTCGTCAACATTGGAGCAAATTATGCAGCTTGGTTCTGGTGAGATTTTAAGCCACATTGCAATGAGTCTGCTGATTATTGATCTTAAGCTGCTGTTATTATCTTCGAAAACGTTTTTCTATCTTCTGGACCAGCAAGAGGAGCGGAAGTCCGTTCACCCTGTTCGTGTCGCTCTCCAGCAATACATGCGTCCCCCAATGCAGCTGCCGTCAGGATAGCTCTGAACTCTGCTGTTCATACATATGAAGCAGGCTTCTCTCGGTGGATACCAGGGTCGGCCAAACGCTCTCAGAAGAAGGCAGACTTGATCAAGACAATTACTGAAGTTGTTTTGCAGCACCGTCTGCGTATGTGATATCTGGTGCAGTTGTCGCAGTCCCACTGATATATCCGTATCCAGCAATACCTGGAGTCCAAGCAATATGACGATATTGAGCTCAGCGAATTGCGGTTTCTGGATTGGCTGATGGCATGTCCATGGAGGTGGTCAAGGAGGTGGAACTGTATGAAACGTTGTATGATTAAGCAATTGGCGGTTTATGGTGGACACGCGTGTGATGGATAGCGTCCTACTTATTTTGTACGATGTTTGTAACTTTCCTCAAAGAAAAGAACTGTATATAATTTCTGGTCGGCTTGGATGGGCTGCGGCGTTGGCGCATAGCGGTGTGATGGGTGGGCTTTCACGTTGTGCGCCCATAATATTACGCCATGATGATGGTTGGATCGATTGACAATAACATCGATACAAAATGTGTCAAAATACATTCTCAGCGTTAACTGGCGCACTGTCAGTAGTTCTCTGACCGACTTCGATACTGATAGAAAGTTAGCACACAAATAGGGATCCAGTTAAAAGCCGACACTTACCATCGAGAACCAGTGCCGGGGAGGTTACAAAGGACATGACGGTTCAAACTTTTTTTTTTTTTTTTCCTTGTTTATTGTCCTTTGGGGCGGAGCCCTATGGTGGACACTACGTACTGTATTATACTATGCTGCGTCTATTCTATGTTTTGTGTGGTCTATGCTGTGCAATGGTCCGTGCGTGAGCGAGGACGGTGACGCCGTCTTAAGGCGTTGTGTTAGTGTAGTACAAATTGGTTGGTTTGGTTTTTCTTCTCGTTTGATGGCTTTCTCTTCCTCTTTTCCTCATTCTTTTTCCTTAGGGGGGGTGACGTCTCCGAAGGTTTGTTCTAATCTTCTGGTGCACGCGATGAACTTGAGTGTCGCTCTAATTCCTTTTCCCTCGCTTAGCAAGTATTTGACGTTGAGCTGTCGCGGTCCTACTTCCATGCTGAGCTCGTTGCGTTGTCTGGCGTATTTCGGGCAGACTAGTAGGAAGTGATGGACAGTTTCTTCGTGTGTGTTGCATTCCTGACATGCTGCTGATTGCGCTCTGGCTATGCAGTGAAGGTGTTTGTTGAGAGCGATGTGGCCGGTGCGTAGATGGAATATTAGCGTTCCGTGTTTCCTTGGTAGGTCTTCGATCTTGCTTGCGAACTTCTTGGATGGGGCGGTGTGGTCGATGGATTTGCAGGTGAGCGAAGCGGGGTGATTCTTGCATGATGTTGACTGCTTCGGCCTTGATCTTGCCGTAGAAATGCTGTTTCAGCGCCGATTTGCTTTGCGGAAGGGTTCTGATTGCGGCCGTTTCTTGCTAGGAGAGATTTGGGGAGTTCCTTCGTGGCTGAGGAGTCTCCTGCTGCGGCTCTCTTTGCTTCCTCGTCCGCTGCCTCGTTTCCTGCTATGCCATGATGGCCTGGCGACCATCTGATCACGAGTTTTCTTCTGCCGTTCTTGTGTGGTAGCAGTTTGCGCAGGTCGTCGTGGAATGTGTCTGCTAGATGGTGACCCGGTCTGGATTGGAACACCGTTGTAGCAAGGATTGCTGCTTGGTTGTCGACTCCTACTGCCATTGTTCCCCCCCTGCTTCCTCCTGCCTCCTTCAACAACTGAATTGCCAATATCATCCCCACTAATTCCGCTTCATACACTTGTATGTTCTTCGTCACTCCCCAGATATAGGCGTCTTTTGCTTATTACCCTACCCTCCTCCCCTCATCAGCACCGCTGCTCCTCCCACTCCCCCCGTCTATCAATGGGCCGTCTGAGTATGCGCGGAGTTCCTCCGTGGCTAGGGAGTCGTCTGTGATGGCTTGCTTTGTCGAGTCCGCAATGCAGGTGTTGACGTCCGGCTCCCATTTAGGGTAATGTCTGACAGGGTCGATTTTCTCTATCCTGGACGGATTGATCTGAAATTCATTCATCAGTCTATGAAGCGGTGAAGGGTAACGTTTTCTCCCCTGGAATTGCCTCTTTGCGCTGTACTCATATGCTGCCCTGATCTCCTTAGCTAACGGGTGTGGGGACGGGAGGGATGCCATCCTTAGTGATGCTCGATAGCATGCTTCTTCTTAGCGTCTGTTGAAATGGGAGGACGTTAGCATGAGCGTCTAACATATCAGTTGCGGTTGATCTTAGTCCTCCTGTTACTAGCAGTGTGGCCATCCTCTGAACCCTGGCCATCTGGGACGCGAATCCCCTTGCTCCTCGACCGCCCCCGTTCTTTCCTTTGCCTTTTTCGATGAGTCCCGCGCACCAAATGTCGGTTGCGTAGAGCATTTTCGGGAGTATAACGCTCTCAAAGAGTCTTCTGACCAGCTTCCCGTGAATGCCTCTTGTGGGGCGGATGATCCGTCTGCATGCCATCACGTACTTCGTTCCCTTTTGCAGTTGCAGTAGGCGGCAGTGTTCTTTGAAGTTGAGGTTCTGATCTATAATAACTCCTAGGAACTTGTGCGACTTTGAAGGTTGTATGGTATGGTTGCGGATGGTGATGGGGAGTCGAGGGACAGGGATTGTTTTGCGGGGGTTGTCTTGGTCAGGGATCCTTTTGCTGGATAAGCATATCAGCGTGGTTTTCTCGAGCTCAAACTCTGCACTATGCTCTTCGCTCCATTCGAGAGCTCCTCCCTGCTTTTCCATCATCCTTTTGAGTTTGCTGTTGGATTCCTCATACGACTTCCCTCTTGCTACTAGGGCGTACGTCGTCTAGGAAACCCAGACCTAGCTCTCCCTGTCTCGGATTGGGATCAGGTACTCTTAACACGCCCGAGTTATAAAAAACAAATCCTAGTGGTGACAAGGGACATCCCTGGTCTACTCCGTCTATCATGTTGAAGAGGTTGGATTGGTAGTCGTCGAAGAAGAGGTAGGTTGTCCGGTTGTCGAGGCGTCTTCGATACCACTTGACGTACTCCTGCGGGATGCCAGCTTTCCTAAGATTGTGCATTAGTTTGTTGACCACTACGCTCGGGAAGGCCGCCTTGACGTCCAGGAAAAGCAGCGAGACGTGGTTGTTTTGGGATGCCCATGAGTCAGTTATGAACTTGGTGAGGAGGTGTAGTGAGTCCGTTGTGGAGCGGCCTGGGCGTCCTCCGAAATGCGTGGGTGGGAGGAGGTTGTTCTTCTCTGAAATGTATGTTAGATCGTCTGCAACGCATGATGAAAGGATCTTAGCCATTGTGTCTAGGAGAGTGATTGGGCGATAGGCCTTGGGGATACTATAGTCCGGCCTTCCTGGTTTTCTTAGGACAATGGTCGACGAACATTTCCATTCAGTTAGGGTAGACTTCTAACGTGAAGGTGGCTCTAAAGATTGGTCCCATGAAGGGTACTAGTAGGTCTGCGCAGCGCGTGAACACTACATTGCTGATGCCGTTGAGACCGGGGGCCTTGAAGGGGGAGAGCTTTTTGATGGCTCGGTGGATCTGTGCATCTGTTATCAGTTCAAACTCGCATACAGGATCGGGATACTCGAAGTTGGGGTCTACGTAGTCAGTTTCTGGTGGGGGTCGAAAAAACACGTTGTATAGCAGCTCGCTCTTGCGGGCGTTGTCTTGTGTGGTGCCGTTTTGTTCGTTTGCTTCGGGGTCTTGAAGTGTCTTGATTCTGGTATGAATTTGGTCAGTTGGTGCGCTTGCTATATACTTATGAAGGGTCCAGGTGCCCGAGGTAGTAAGTTCGTCCAGCCACTCTTTCCAGTGCTCCTCCTTTGCTCGCTTGATACTTTCCGAGAAGCGGTTGCGGGCTATTCTGTACTCTTCGTGTATCGGGTCGTTTTTCCTAGCTATAAAATGCTTAGCTTTGCGTCCAAGTTTATGTACTTCCTTGCGTTGAATGTCCAGCTCCTTGGACCACCACCTCTTGGCGTATGGGGAGGGTTTGGTTTTGGGAACTTTTTCTTCAACGGTGTCAGCTATGCATTTTGTTAGGTTGGCAAAGGCGACGTCGAAGCTGTCACGACTAGTTAGCTCAGTTGGTTGAGGGATCTCGTTGAGCTTTCTAGATAGAGTGTCGCGGAAGTCGTCCCAGTCGGCTCCTCAGTAGTTCAGTTTGGGTGTTGTGATGGTGCGCTCTGGCTGGAGGTCTATTGTACTGATGATAGGAAAATGATCAGTGACTACCGGGCGTAAGTGGTACTCAACGCTGCATTGACTAAAGGATTGTTCGAAGTGGGCTGAACAGAACACGTTGTCGGGGCGGGTGTGATTCTTGGTGTTGGAGGCTTCGAGGGTTGCTATTGCTGGAGGGAGTACCTGTACAAAGTTATACAATGATAAGAGATTGATTAATGTACCAGCGGCATCTAGGTTTGCCACTGTGAATAGGTGTGTGTTATGTGGCATTTCCCACATGGGGTGGTGGCGGTTGAAGTCGCCTAACCATACAATATGTTCATTTGCAGCGCTGTTGCCGCCTTGAGCGGCCCATTGTGTGCGGTTGCGTCGGGCATTGTTCTCGGAGGCCATGTGCCTTTCGAGGAAGTGCATGGTTGCGTCGCTGTCGCACGGATTATATATGTTGTATATTCGCAACTTCCCAAATTGGCCTGTGAGTTCCACTGCCATGACGTTCGGAGACTTTATCGGGACGATGTGCCAGTTATTTTTCGATAGTCTCTTGTTGATCAATATGAGCGTCTTTGATCTGCCCGTGCTGGCGTGGTGGTCAGTCAGGTAGATGATGTCCCAGAACTGTTTTAAGTTAGAAGTGTTAGCAAGATTTACAGGGTTGAAGTATGGTTCTTGAATGCATGCTATGTCGTATATTTCTGGGTTGAGGTTTCTTAACATGTGTTCCCAGGCATTGAGGGATTTGCGGAGATTTTGCTGCCATATCTTGAGATTGTCGCCTACAGGTTGATTCATGTTGGTGTCGTCATTCATTGGTTACCTACGTGGTCCTGGTCCCATCCGCTGCCTGGATTGTACTGGTCGTAGGGGGAGCCGAGGTTGTGGTTTGACCAGCCGTGATCATTGTTGCGAGGGCCGTTCGTTTTCCCGGGGAGGTGGAGGATGTTGAGGAGGGCGAGGTTGCGATAGCCATGACTCCGGGATGCGAGTCTGATTACCTAATGGGACTCGGTTCGTGTTGCGGGCATGGTGTTCTTGGGGAGGCTGTCTTTGGTGGTGGACGGTTTGGAATCCTCTTGTGCGATCCTCCGGTGGTGGGAAACGGTGGTGGCTTTGGGGTTGCACATTCTGGTGGTGGTCTCGGTGTTGGTTCCAGTTCTCTGTGTTCTCCCTTGGCTGGGGTGGGTTGTTCAGGGTTTCCCACGTGAGCGGGTCTTCAGTCAGGAAGAACCGATACTTAGCATCCACATTGCGGTTCTTGTAGCTCTCCCATTTGCTTATGAACATTGGGCAGTCGCGGCTCCATGCGGCGTGTCCTGCGACAATCGCAGTTCTTGCACCGGTATTGGGTCTGATCAGTGATTGCGCAGGTGGCCGTTCTGTGTTGGTTGCTACACGTTCCGCAAGTGTCGTGTTCCTGTGGGCATTCAGCAGCGACGTGTGCACCATCAAATGAGTGACACTTTAGGCACCTGGTGGGCTCTTGAATCAGCTTCCTGCCGTATACTTTCTTCCCCTCGATTGATAATCCATGCTTGATGGCCTGGTTGGCGCCCTCCTTCGTGCCGAATGTGAGGATGATGTGGGCTGTGCACTGACCTGGGTTGCGCCTGGCTGCCGGTTTGATATATCTTGCTCTGTATATTGACTTATGTTTGAGGCCTGCCTTCTTTCTACATCAGCTATTGTGGCGTGGTTGTCCGGGATGAAGGATATTGGCACATTCTCGACTAGTATGTGGAAGGATCGGTCTTTGATAACTATCTCTGTGCTGAAGTGTTCGAGGAACTTGCTTCTATGCGCGGGGACATTAAACCAAAGAACTGATTCTACTGAGTCGAGTTCGTATAATACGCCTCCATGTGGGAGTCTGCGCGCTGATAGGAATGCTAGATTAGTAGGGGTGTCCTCATTGTCCTTGGTCAGGAGTTCGATCGCTAAGGCGGCTTTAGCTACCAGTTGCGCTTCCGTTAGGTCCTTTAACGAATTGGCAGCAAGTGGGGATCTTCTCTCTATCAAAATTGTCGAGCTTGCACTTCGCTTCTCGCGAGAACTTTGGTTAGTATGGGTGAAGGGTTAGTTTTTGCTGCCTCTGCGTATGATCTTGGTCCGTTAGACCCTGACGTGGTATCGGTTGTTTGCCCTGACTGGGGAACGCTAGTGCTCGCGCTCTTCGCCGCTTTCACTAGTTCTTCTGTGGATGTTTGGAAGTTGGTACGCACCTCTGTGATCACCTTCTCCATTTCTGACTTGTATTTCTCTAGTACTTCTTCGAATGCTTCGACTTTCTCATCCAGAGTTGCCACTGGGCCGCCCATGAGTGCTCCGACTTTCTCAATGATTTCTTCCGCGTTGATGTTCTTCTGAACCTCGTGAGTTATGAACGCGAATGCACGTATTATATCTGTGTGAGTGGCGCCTAGGTTGGCAGACGCGCTGAATTCAAATAATGCAGTCGAAATGGCCAGAAGGATGTTGCCAGCCGTGGGAAGGTTGAGGGCCGTGTGTATTGAGCGTTTTTCTTGCAGTGTTTAAGTTGTCGACGTCTGTCTTCACTCCTAGACCGGTTGCGTGGTCCTCTATTGATTTGCTGGTTGAGAGTAATGGCTTGTTTGCGGTGGTTTTGCGGTTGATTCTGCTGGTTTGAGTCAAGGTTGAGGAGCTTGTTGGGTCGTTGGGCGGCATGCTGATTGCTTTTGTGTCGGTGTGGCACTTGGTATGGTGTCTTGGGTAGTCGGTGGAAGGGTCCTGTTGGTCGCAAGGCGCCATTGGGCGGCCTTGGCGCTGTTGAGCGCGTTGTTGACGGTTGTTTTCCGGGGTCCTTGCAGGGGGTGCCACTTGGTACGGGTCAAGAAGCGTTCTGTTCCATGTATGATCATGTAAAATGACACCATTCATCTTGTCAATGACCACCGTGGGCGTCGGCCCTCCTTGTTTGTCATCCTTCTCCCTACACCGTGCGATGGACTCTAAGCGCTAGGTTTGAATGTGCTTGCAACGTTGAAGGTCAGGCAGACCTTCAAACTATTTTCCTCAGCCAGCTCGAAGTTCACCGACGCTCAGCGCTCATCTCCTACAGGTCGCTTCATGCATCCTGAGCGGACCAAGGCCCTGCGTATATCAATGCCTCACTACCGGCTGTAGTGGAGTCCGGCCATAATCAACTGCGCAATGTACCAGAACAACTGAAGATCCCCAACGACCTTGTTACAGCAGAGGAGAGCGAGAATGAAAGCTCCAAAAGCTTTTCGGGGATGGAGCAAACCTACATTCATCACTAAACCATCTTCTCGCGTGTGCGCCCATCAAACGTCCCCTAGGTTCTTCAACAACTGCTGCGGACCAATGCGAGAGGATCATTTTGGGATGTGCATCGGATCTGGAACTGTGACGAAGACTTGTTGCGACTGATTAGTACAGGCGATAATACATACCTCCATAGCTGATTTCTGGAGGATATCCTAGGAATGGGATGAAGGTGTTTGTGATGCTTTCATGCATCTTGTTGATGCTGCTAGTGTGCGTCAAACAACAACCATGCGCAGATGAAAATGTTGGGCCTCGGGTCTTAAGTTTTAAACACTACTTTCATTAGTTGCACTACCAAAGAAAGTTGAATGGGACGGGACCTATGCAGCCCTAGAGGATGGTCAATATCATATGTCGACATGAACGAAACTGGGTGGGAACAGCGACGCACTTCAGCAGGCGCGCTTAGGCCGGAGATAGATATGTTCTGCATCGTTATCATGGCCTTGACCTGCTTGCGCTTGGTCTCACGGTAGGGCTATATGATGGGGAGGCCTGGAGGTAAGTCCGAACATTATCTGTCCTTCTCTTGATACGGTTCCTGGAGAGCGAAGAAGCTTGTTTGTCGCCTCGATGACCTTGATGTCATCCTTGTTAGAAGGCCATAACACTGAAACTGGATTGGCGTGAGTGCATATGCCGCTAATCAATACTTCTCGCTGTTGTGTTAGATGCAAATGGTCTGGGGTAGTCTCGCCAAATGCATTACGAAGATGAACGCTAAGCCCACATACATCCCAGTAACGCATGGGGCTTGATGGCTTCACCGAGGTCAGACAGGACGTCCCGCTGCACGAGTTTGGCTTCCTTCAATATGATGGCAAGATTACTGTGAGAGCAATGTGAGAGAGATTGACAATGAAAACAAAGTAGGTTAGGTTGTTGACACTCAAACAAAACCCTAACCCTAGACTTGGCTTAAGGTTCAGAAATAAGATTTGCAAGATGACTTTGTCATTTACACCGAGATAGCGATGCTCACGAACACCCTCAGCGTCAATAATATACACGTGTTCGTGATGATTACAGGCGCCCAACCAGCTTGCTGTGTACCGCTCCTTATCTCTGTCCGCTCAGGCTCTTCCCAACTCCACTGGCTTTGACTTTGGGTCCAAAATTTGTTATAGCTGTCACTTCCTCATGTCAAAAGCATCCAGCACTACCCGCGCCGAGGACCAGAGCGCCCATATAGACGAGCAGCCTGCCACAGAACAGGATACCCTAGGACTCCCAGAGAATTCACGGTAAGTTGCGGCTTCCTGGGATCTGTCACCCATATAACAGCAAGATAGGGAGCAGGAAAATGGCGGACCTTCAGAGGTGAAGCTACCATCAGATATGTAAGTGGTTCTGCCCTGATACTTCTGTGTAACTCACCAGAACTGCAGCTCGAACACTGGGCCATCCCAGCCATCAGAACCTCACGAACAGGAAAGTGCTTCCAAAGCTGCAGCGGACGACGATTTAGTTCCGTAAGTCCCTATCAATGGCGTTTTCAAACAAGCTCATGAATTATCTCAGTCAGGCGGAAAAGGTCGTGGCAGAGAAGGACCAACCAAGTCTTGGCGAATTGTGAGCGAAAAATATGCCGAGCGATCGCAGCTAACGATACCTTGCACTCAGAACAAATATCATGAAGCAAGTATTGGAAGTTCTCCAGGACTCGGACGATTGCATCCAAGAGTGGTAAGGACAATCGGTCTCGTTTCTGGGGAGTGTACAAAAGAGTCGCGGAGGAACACGACGGCGAGTTCCTCGAGCGATACACCGGCGACATGGACAATCGTTTTGGTCTTCGTAGGTTCGCGTGCCTATCTTTAACTCGTTTGAGACTGATGCTTGATCAGTCCGGTCTTTTCTCAGCTGTCAGCACGTCTTTTATAGTGGCGATGGAGTCTAATCTTATTCCCGACCCCAGCGACACCACGAATGCCCTTCTGAAGCAACTCGTGTACATTGGACTCGGCAACTTCACTGCAGCGGGCCTCCACGCCCTTAGACCCAGCATCAACGTGGTCAGCGACTGAGCCGGCTCTGAGGATCCAAATGATCGCATACGCAAGCTTGTCCATGAGTTTGCTAGCAGCATTCGGGGCCGTATTAGGCAAGCAATGGCTTGGCTACTACAAATCGAATAGATATGGCCGTGGCTCACAGGAGGAACGAGGGAAGCGCAGGCAAGAGAAGTTTGACGGCCTCATCACTTGGTATTTCGACGCTGTCGTGCAGTCATTTCCCGTCTTGTTTCAGATCTCCCTTCTTCTGTTTGGGATCGCCCTCAGCGCCCACATGTGGTGCGAGCAGCCCAGCATCGCTTGGGTGATCATTGCCACGACGGTCTTCGGATTTCTGTTATATTCGCTGACAGTGATGGCATGTTTGATATCTCCCGCCTGTCCATTCCAGACGCCGATGTCGACGGTGTTGCGCATGTTGGGCATGCACAGTAAGATCATTTCGTGAATTCTCGTGGTCGTTTCCAGTCTGAATCAGTATTGCAGGAGTTATCCTCCTGGTCTTTGAACCAGCCTACAGGTATTTCCAGCAGCTCAATACATCAGCGCACGGTGAGCTATATTCTATTAGGTGTGCACAGGTTTGGACCATTTCTGATCAGCTGTAGTGCAACGAATATTTGGTACCCTCAGACCGAGATGGACCCGATTGTCCGAAGCATTGAGAGGTGATGTTCTTATCTACTCTTACACAGGATACCCAGTGCTCATTTCACTCCCCAGGTCCTGTGTATGCTACTGGCGCATTCGCACGACGTTCTCTTAAGCTATTATCCGCCGCGCTTCACAAAGGGTTACGTTCTTTGGTTCTGCGCTCTTCGACAAATCTTGTAGACCTCAGAGGCACAGCCGCTCAACCAGGATCTGGATGTTTTGGTGGAGAATGATGGCACCCTTACCCTGAAGCTCCCGGACATACCCCATATTTTTGCTACTGGGTAGCATGGGAGTGTACTGCAGCCCCGCTAAACAATATTTGTTCATCGAGAGGCTCATCGCCTGTATGGACGATAACATGCCTCCCCATTTACGCCATGCAGCTCTTCGCGCTGCTCACAGTGCCCGAGAAGAAATAGCCTCGATCGATGCCATGGATGACAGGCTACGAGACATAGTTTTGACCAAGCTCTCCCCCACTATTTCTGTCCGTGGTTTGTCCGCACCCAGGTACAACACCCGCCAATGATGGTCCTGAACCACTTTTTCGATTATCGCCGCGATTTATGCTATCTGAACTAGTTTTTGCCCTCGCGAGGAATTCCAACTGGTACCCCCCCATTTGTCTGGGGATCGCCACATTGATCGATGCATTAGCATGATTCCAGAGTACTGCGTTTCCGAATCACCCACACCACCATGCCTTTTACATAGCTGGTATCTTCCTTCGAATCACACCTGAACAGAAGTCGGATACATCACTTGATTCTGTTACAGGACAACAGTGGTGGGACGTGATGACAAAGCGCGTGGAACAGTGTTCTCTATGACATTGACAACCCACGCGGTTTCGAGCTCCTTCCTGTCCTTGTGGATTGGCACGAAGAAGTATATGGAGATGCTTCAAAATCTGATCTCGAGGGGCTCATCGGAAAAGTGGATCGGTTTCTCGAACGTCTGGAGGAGGAGTTGCAATGGAAGAGGCGATGGCAGGAGATGCGCCTCAGGCTGGAGATGGGACCGGAGATGGGACTGGAGATGCAAGGTTTAGAGCAGGGAGAGGGGATCATCATTGCCGTGAAGGAGTTAAGGACTGCAGCCAGCAACATGTTGGAGAGCTTTGGTCATAATTATTAGTCCCCTAATTATGACGGTGCTTGCATGTGGTGTTAGAGTCTTGGAATCAGACGAAGTCATGGGGCAGTGCATGCGCGGAAGCGGGAAGTATCAAGACCCTAACGAAATCGATATTGAATCCTCAGTGGTGTCTGACTTGGTCGGTGCATGTCAGGCGTGAGGAACAAGGATATGAGATGCAAATATTGGGGAGATCAGCATGTAAATGTCGACCAGAGGAAGATTGTTCCACGAGGTTAAAACCAGACCCCGGCGTCACTGACGAGATTCTACGCTCGGCTGTCCCACCCACGTCCCTTGACCGACATGCACAGGAAGACAAAGACGGGGCGACAAACGCAGATTTATTCAAAACTCTTCATTTCCGCATGACAATCACCCTTCTTTGGAAGAGGGTGTGAAGAAGAGTACCGAAATCAATGAATTTGAGTCTTTGACCACCGGAAGCAATCAGTGTTGTCCTCGCCGCGCCGTTTTCATTTCCTGCCGCATGTATCCACGTCATTACGCCTTTCAAGATGGTCAGTTCTCGATAGGCCGTCTGCGTTTTGCTAGCGTAGGCTTCGCAGTCTCAGTCTCGGTTCCTAGAAGCCCGTGCGATGGATGGGGCTTCTTACATGTGAGACCATCGATGATGCTGTCAAAGGACATGAACGGAGCGCACGCCGCAGTTTCCAGTTCAGACGAAGCACAATACGTAGGCCTGTAGTTTGGAGGTTCTTCAGCACCTGCCGCTGTGGAGCGATGCGAGAGAAACTTTGTTGGATGCGTGTCGGGTCCGGAACTGCGGCGAGAGCTTCAGTAGTGTAGTCGAAGTAGCATGAATGATACATACCTCCGTAACCAATTTCCCAAGGATGTCCAAGGAAATGCGGTGCGCTGAAGGTGTCTGGGTTGATTATGACAGCTTGTCAATGCTGTTAGCGTGCGTCGAATAAGAATCATGCACGGTCGCAAATGTCAGGGCCTGTAAACACCATACTCATCAGTCCACACCGCAAAAAGCCTCAAAGCCGATGAGATCCACGCAATACATAAGAGCAGTCAACATCATATTTATGAGCAAAATTGGACGGGAAACGTTGACACACATCAGCAGGCGCGTTAGGGTCGGGGATGAATACGTTCTAAATGGCCATTATGAGCCGATTGCGCTCCGTCTTGCGGTAGGGCTGTACGATGGGGCGGCCTCAGGCTGGAGATGTAGTGTAGGACGACTGTACGGCCCGATTTCTGAGGAAGGAAGAAGATTGTTATTTGTCCACTCGATCAACAACATTTCAATTGCAAGCTGACACACGCGTTACAAAATAAGAGCTGTCAGAGACTGGCTCAGCGCGTTACGAATTGATGACGTCAAGTACTGAAGTCACGCTGCTCGAATTTCAACCGTGGCATGTGAGAAAGATCAACGAAACCCTAACCCTAGAGTCAGTTTTCCTTATCTTCACGATCAAAATAAGGTTTTACAGTATATCTCGTAGCTGAACATAGACCATCTTGCTACATCTCTACCCCAAGGGCACCTAGTTCTCTGTTGTCGACAAAAATACAAAGAAGTTATGACTCGGTCAAAGGTCTGTGGTCTATCATTAAGAACTTCCGTCTCGAGTCATACTCATGCGCAGAAATGTATAAATTCTACTATACTCCATTTCTCAGAAACGACAGCGAGGAGGCCGAGGGGGAAAATCACGCGACGACGATGATCGCGGTATGCTAGAAAAGAGCGATATGAAAAATGAGCGTTCAGCTCATATTACAAGGCTCAGCACATCATTCCTGAGGAGGAATGGGATCAGTTCATGGAGACATTGAGACGTCCCTTACCTACCACCTTCCGCATCGCCGGAAGTCGAGAGTACGTGCCTTTCCGTTCTTCCATACCAAACCCGAATGACGGAGGCGTTAGGATTGCTCATGCTCTAAATGATGCAATCAAGAAAACTTATGTCCCGTTGTTGAGCGATGTTGTTTTTGAGGGTGATGTTATACCGCCTCCATCTCGGATTCCTTGGTGCGCTATGTTACCTATATATTTCTGATGTCTGACACTGATGCTGTGCTTAACCAGGTATCCAGAAGACCTAGCCTGGCAATTCAATGTGTCCAAAAAAGTTCTGAGGAAGCAGCAAGCATTCAAAAGTTTCACTCTTTCCTTGTACACGAGACTGAAGTCGTACGTGATCCTTCGCCTCCAGTCATGCGGTCTATGATGCATGTAATAGGGTAATATATCAAGACAGGAGGCAGTCAGCATGCTTCCACCACTGTTCCTCGATGTCCAGCCACACCATAAGGTAAGGTATGCCGGTCTGCTTCCGTAATGTTCAG